CCCCTGTTTGGTGGAAGCTTCTAACGGTGACTTACTGTTAGTAGATAGATTTCCTGATCAATGGAAGTTCAGAATCTACCAACTGTTGTATGAAGATTTCAGTTGGGTTGAAGTTCCTGAGTTGGAGAACAATGATTCTTATATTCTTTGACTTACTCTTATTATTGTGCCACATCCGGGTCCTGTGTTACTAAACTCCAAGGATTTCACGGTGACAAAAATTATAGGTTGCCTTTGATTTGGATAACCCCGACCCGGGAAGGATTATGTGATGCAAGAAACAAGCTTGTAAATGAACGTTTTAGCAGGGGAGTTTGATGTTGCAGAGTGATTCAAAATCACGATTTTGTGGTGTTTTGGGCAGGAAAGAGCACAAGATATTGACATGGCTCCAAAGATTCATCAAGTCGAAGAGGAATTCCTTGAAGTCAATCACATGAATTGCATTCCCCTATGGAAAATTATGTAATAGACGTACCATTATTAATATGTTCTTCGTGTTTCATAAATATTTACTCGTTTACGTATCTATTATAGTGTTCCCAAGGATATTGCAATAATATTTCAGGGGAAAAAAAACTTCCAATGTATAGCAAATAGGTTACAACAGCTATTTCAAAATTCTGCATATCATCCTAAGAGATGCAAAATTTGTTCCTATATATATAAATGTTTCGGACCATCATCTTTAAACGTTATGAACTTGATTTCATGAGCTTCATTGACGTAACTAATCCTTCATCATCGTCCTAACTGTATTTTGGGTTACAAAAAATGATATATACTCCATAGTCCAAAAATACATTAAAAAAAAAAATTCACGTAGATATTCTTTATGACCTTTGTAACCAGCCAATCAATGCTCAAGTAATCTAACAGCTATTTCGGTCATGTCTTCATCTATTGACCGAAAATCAATAAGACTAAAATGTCCAAATGGTCCCTTACATTTGGGTCTACTTCAATTTACGTCCCTAACATTAACATTTCAATATCGTAATCCCAAACATAATGTTTTCAAACTTTTTTTGTCCCATTTTACTATTTCCGGCCGTTGACATGCCAGAATCAGGAGTATTTTTGTCTTTTAATTTAATTTAAATTTCTATTAAAATTTAAATTATTAAAAATATTTTAAAATTCATATTTCATTATTTATTTATTAAAATATTATTTATTAATTAAAAATATTATTATAAAAATTTTAAAATTTACATTATTTTCAAAATTAATTTTTTCATTTATCATTTACCTTAAGTCAAAATAAATAGTAATTATGTTGTACTTTTAACATTGGACCCACTATAACTTAAAAAATTTACCGAGTTACAGTAAATAATTCAAAATTCAATTTCTTTTAAAAAAATAAAAAGTAAAACTATTTTTTTTACTCTGACCGCTACAGTAAACCCTAAATAGTAATTACATTGCACTTTTAACCTTAGACCCACTATAATTTAAAACATTTATCGAGTTACAGTAAATAATTCAAAATTTAATTTTTTTTAAAAAAAAGGAAAAGGCAAAACAAAGATTTTTTTTTACTTTAACCACCACAGTTGAATTTTGAATTATTTACTGTAACTCACCAAATTTTTTAAGTTGCATTGGGTCCAAGGTTAAAAGTGCAACATAAGGGTTTACTGTAGCTGTCAATTACTTTGTTTTGTTTTTTTCTTTTTTTTTAAAAAAAAATTGAATTTTAAATTATTTACTATAACTCGGTAAATTTTTTAAGTTATAATGGGTCCAAGGTTAAAAAAGAAACATAGCGGTCAGAGTAAAAAAAAATCTCGGTTTTCCTTTTTTTGGAAAAAAAAATTGAATTTTGAATTATTTACTGTAATTCGGTAAATTTTTTAAGTTACAGTGGGTTTAAGGTTAAAAGTGCAACATAATTACCATTTAAGTTTTATTATTGCGGTCAGAGTAAAAAAAAATATTGGTTTTATTTTTTCTTTTTTTAAAAAAAATTGAATTTTGAATTATTTACTGTAATTCGGTAAATTTTTTAATTTACAGTAGATCCAAGGTTAAAAGTGTGACATAATTACCATTAAGGGTTTATAGTAGCGGTCAGATTAAAAAGAATTTATAGTTTCCCTTTTTCTTTTTTTTTTAAATAATTGAACTTTGAATTATTTACTGTAACTTGGTAAATTTTTAAAGTTATTGTGGGTCCAAAATTAAAAGTGCAACATAATTACCATTTACTGTGTACTTAAAGGAAATAGTAAATGAAAAAAGTAATTTTAAAAATAATGATAAATTTTATAAATGTATAATAATATTTTTAATTAATAAATAATATTTTAACAATTAATTAATGAAATTTGAATTTTAAAATAATTTAAATAATTTAAATTTTAATAAAAATTCAAATTAAATTAAAAAACAAAAACACCCCTGATTCCGGAATGTCAACGGCCGGAAACAGTGAAATGGGACCAAAAAAGTGTGAAAACATAATGTTTGAGACTACGAAATTGAAATGTTAAAGTTTGGGACGTAAATTCAAGTAGGCTCAAATGTAAGGAATCATTTGGACATTTTAGTCAAATCAATAATTTCTCGATCTTATTGGTAAGGCCTACGAGATAAGTTATAAATTTTTTAAAAATAAAAATAAATTTGGATACAAAAATGTTATAAAATTTTATATGGTGATTTAGAAAGTGGTGTAGGATTGTGGTGTTGGAAATCTTTAACCTTGTTAGAGCAGTCTCCAATTGGTATCAAATTTATTTTGCAACCATCTCGCACATTTTCACCTGCAACATTTCCCATTAAAATTTGTTCAATCTCAACCTAAACATCTGCAGAGGACGAAACATAAACATACACTAAGTAGCAAGATGATTAACGCACCCTAAAAATACCCTTAAAGGTTAAATAAATGACAAAAAATAATGATACATTTTATTAGATATCAACTCTAACAAAACCTCCCCTCTCTCGGAAATCAACATGAAAATCGGATTCATCTTTTTCATTGTCATGGTCATGAGAGCCCTTGACAACAAGTGACAACCATCCATTGTTCATTATTCATTATCAACTTTTGACATAATTAAACGTGTAAAATGTAAAGAATAAATAAATAGACTATAATTCGCATTAAAAAAAATTACTTTCATAGTCTCCTTTTTAAACAAAGGAGAGAGTAATTAAGTAGATAGATTATTAAATCAGCGATTGCAATTTAACTAAATACTTAACAATAAAAAAGAACTTTGGTCTCATGCGGGTAGTTTTCTTTTTTTTCTGATTTTTTCTATTGGAAATATAAAAAATGTGTCGAAAATTGAAAAATGAGGGTTGAAAATATTTTTAAAAAAATGCGTTGAGAATTTACTATTATTTTGGAGACACCAAACTAAAGCCTTATTAGCTTGAAATTCAATTGGAGAGATTTTTTACGAGGTCGTGAAATAATTATTTTTTAAAAAAAAAATCTTTCACCATGATGCATACTTGAATTGTTATTGAGATTTCGAATTAATCAGCTAAAAAAATACAATGAGAAGAAGAAATGTTCAGAGCAAAATATACAAGGGTGTCTAATGAATGAGAAAAAGGAAAGGTAGTTCATTTGATTTGTCTTCGTTTTCTTCAACATCATAAAATGGGTAGCTTTTTTGGGTAAAGCCGGGAATGAAAGGGGTAGTTTTGTTTGGCAGGTTTTGTCTTGTTCCGGCCTTCAGGCAAAAAAAAATTAATCTACCCCTAAATAATCCTTAACCCCAAACCATCCCCATAGGAATTGATCATGGGTCTATTAGGAAATGTCCTTCCCCCTAAATAAACTATCAATTCCTAATTGATCTTATGGAAGTGTAAAACATTTCTGGAAAAAACCTCTTAATTAGGCATTATTGTGAAAATGTGAAATTAAACAAACACACTCACTTATAAGTTATAAATGTGGTAATTCTGAGGATAAAAGTACTATTCATTTAGAGTCTCTTGCTTTATAATAAGAAGAATATAAAATTATTCGGTGTTTAATTTAGTGTTTGTGTAGACTGTAGAGGGTTACATTTTTACATTTCTCTTCATTGGGCAATTAGATACTAATGGTGTATGAATGAATTTGATTGTAATATTTCAATCGCGAAATTTTAATAATTTATAAATCTATGTGATTTTGTAGTTGACAAGGAAAAACTGTTGGAACCCTGAGCCAACAATTTGCAATTTTCCCCTTCTACGCTTCCTTTCCATTTTTGCTCTGTCAGCTGGCTGTCTGCTAAACCTAATCTCAATGACCAACTGTTGGAATTCGATTTGCAACTTTCTCCTTCAAATTTCTCAATTTCCCAAAAGGAGCAAAACAGAAAAAAGGCATGTAAGAAAGAGGAAGCAGCTAGCTATATGAGGTTATGACTGAAAATGCCTTCGTACAACAGTACTAAAAAGCCTTTCTCTTCTGTTATTTTGGTGGAATAAGATGATATCAATGGTGTTTCAGAGTTCAGAGCTTGCCGGCTATACTATCAGCAAAGACCCTTATTTTGTTCCTCTTTTTTACCCTTTTCTTTCTTCTCTCTCTCTCTCTCTCACACACACACTAACAGAGGTTTCTCTTTTCTCTAAACTAAATCAGAGTCAGAAATAGGAAACAGAGGACGTTTGGTCCTGATCAGGAAAGAATTGTGTGCGTCCTTTTCTTCTATTCTGCTTTGTTGGCCTTTTTTCTGTGATTCCAAATGTTATAACCAACTCTTATTGCGTTTGACCATATGAGCATCATTTACTACGTCTGCAAATTTTCCAGTCTCCCAATCTTGATTTCCTTTTCAAATTTTCTTTCAGGGCTTTCCTCGGAAAAATCCAGCAAAGATATTTCGACCCTTTTCTTGTTTTAGTATATATATACTACTACCTCTTCACTTTGTCTTCTTTCATATCTATTTCAAAACTCCAGATTAGCTTTGAAATAAAAACACAGAGTCACAGAGTAAAACAGTTTCAGGAAGCAGAGTGTTAACAAAAAAAAAATGCAGGTTGTTCAAGAGTCTTCATCAAATATGAGAATTGATCACAAAACAGGGGAATCCCATGATGCAGTGCTGAAGAACATGGAATCAATCTACGAGAAAGTTCGGTTCTTGGCATCGGGAAACGCGGTGGTTGTCTTCACCATGAGTGGGTGCTGTATGTGCCATGTGGTGAAGCAACTCCTGTTTGGTTTAGGTGTTGGACCCACCATCGTGGAGATTGACGACCACCGCGACACCACCGGCTCTTTCGGCCGTGAAATTCAGTCCCTCCTCTATCAGCTGGCGGCCGGCGGCGGTGGAAGCAAAGGGATAGGAGGGCAGCAGCAGTCGCCGCCGCCGCCGCCGCAATCGGTGCTTCCGGCGGTGTTTGTTGGTGGCAAGTTCTTGGGTGGCATTGAAACAGTCATGGCTTGCCATATCAATGGCACTCTTGTTCCTCTGCTCAAGGATGCCGGAGCTCTCTGGCTCTGATTCTACGCTGAAAAATTTCTAATTCCGGCCCAGAAAGTATCAGAACAATAGCAATACTCTGTTTCATGAGGAGATAATAATAATATGTGTAATTCCTTTCTTTTGGTACTCTGCGGCTTTTAAAATGGTGCTAGAATGTTGTTTAATCGGTGAGGATGAAAAGGGATCTGAGGTGATATTGTGTTGGTTAGAACAGTCCCTTGTTTGCTGCTGTAATCTAATCTACTAACCAAATACTGTTAATTGGCGCTACTGGGTAGGTTAGGTTACTCTGTTCCTGTTCCTGTGAAATTTTAATTCATGTCTATTTTTAACATCTTCGATCAAGAAGAGTATCGTGAATTCCAATTTGTCTGCATTCTATGCATGCATTCGTTGTCCTTGATATCACTTCGCCTGATTTTTCTAATGAAAATGTATACAGTTTAAGGATCTCTATTCACGATTAACTACCCCTGTTTTTCTTGAAGAAACGAGTGTTCTAAATGTTATCATCTTTTTTCTTTAAGAGAGATGTATGTTTGTGAAATCCATAAAGAGAGACAAAACGTAACCTGCATATTTATTTTAATTGGCTAACTTCTCTCTGAGTCTGAGAAAGTATATCTTCTGCATAATGAATGTTAAGAGGATATGATTATATGAAGGTTAACAGTAAACTGAAGAAGATGAATTTAAGCCAACTTCACACTATTCAAGCTGTTTGATGCCTTTTCCAATCTGTACAGATAATGAACAGTACTTTCATACAGAAAACATGTGTGATGAGGAGCAATTGCCTTATCATCATCATGCTGAGTAATTCGTTTGTTCTTTTGATAAATTATATCAATTGGGTTGTGACATTAGCAAATGCATAATAGGACTAACAGGTTGTACCTCTTTGCCGGCGTGACTAATGCTTTTCAGCCGTAATTTTTCATCTATGTTATCTTTTTTACATTTTGAAAAAATAATATGAAATATAGTTTACGTGATATTCATATTTCCTTTGAATGGAAAGCAAAATATGAATGGTTATATGAATGAATTAGTAGACAACTTTAAAATGAAAGACACATTTGCTCAGGTTCGGGGTGACCTATATATGTAGTGGGAGGTCACTTATTGTATGTATACCTAAAAGTAGACCACCATCGATTTGGATATGTTAAATTACGAGTTAAGAGTAACTAATATAGAGTACCATTTACTTTCACAACTCCAAACTTCTATATTTTTGTGGAGCAAATCTCATGCATTCAAGAAGGGAAATGAAATTATCAACAAGTTTGAAAACCTAATTGTAATTACAAAAATTAAACCTTAAAGCTTTCAAAATAGAATATGTGGATATGTTCTCGCTAATCTATCTGCTCATTTTCCTATAATTTGATACTCTTTTCTTTTTCTGTTTTTTTTTTTTTAAGAAGTTACAATTTACAAGTTACGACACAGTGTGTGAAATATGTTAAAATTTCTAGTACACCGTTGAAAATAGGTCTTCGCTCTGCTAGAGAAATTTTAGTTTTATTTTCTTTTCTCAAACAAACGGATTTTCAACTCAGTGATTATATCTTTGTATTTAACGATTACTCAATCTTAAATTTCATATTAAAATTACATTTTACTGCATATCCGAAAAACTCCACAACTACTAAAAAAGAAATTCATTTGACTTTACTCTCAAATCGCGAATACCACTATATACCTGATACATATTTTCTCTATTACAAAATGATTATCTAAATTTAAAGTAAAAGATATACTAAATGAGAAAATTTTAATAAAACAATTCTTTTGTGACAAAAAGAGTACGAACTAAAATATATACATTCTTTCATAGATAACTTTGTTGATTTCCTTAAAGTTAACTAATAACAAGGTGGATTCAATATTTTGATTATGATGTAACTTACTCAATTTTGTTCATAAAGATATCTTTCTTGTTTGTTTTATTTGTGTAAAGCAACCTACTTCAAACAATTGTTATTTTAAAAATTTTTAATCCACCTTGTACCAAAATAAAATAAAATAAATTTTTTTCCCACCTGTGTTAGAATTATTAATTATGGGATAATAAATAAAATTCTACGATGTATTAGTTTCATTTCATCATTTTTTTTAATTCACTGCATTGATTGAATACTTCTTTATATTTTTAAGAAAAATAATAATCTTTAAAAGTGGTTAAATATATAGGGAAAGTTCTCAGAGTAAATGAACAAAAAACATAAAATCAATAAACCCGTCCTCAACCCCATTACCACCAACAGACGGCGGCGAAAGGCGAGAATGACGACGGGGATGCTAAGTCGGAGTCGTAGTACGACACTTGCCGGAACTACGGTGAGATGGATGAGCACGGCGGCGTCGGCGGAGGCCGTGGCCGAAACAGGGGCGGTGAAGAAGTCCGGAGGAGGAGGTAATATGAGGCTCTACCAGAGGTTATCGGCATTGGGCAAGAAGGAAGGATTGGTGGCGTCGACCATAAATAAGTACATCAGGGAAGGGAAGAAGGTCCACAAAGAAGAGCTGAATTGTTGCGTGAGGGAACTTCGCCGGTTTGGACGACACCGCCAAGCCCTTGAGGTTTCTCTTCTTTCCCTCTCTCCTTACTGTTTTTTTTTTTTCTGAAAAAGTCTCTCCTTACTGTTATAACTATAGCTGGTTGAATTCGATTTTGAAAATTATGCTTTGAATTATTGGGCAAACGAGTAAAACTCCAGTTACTCAAATGTTCAGTTTTATGTGCTCAATAAACTTCAAATGATTGTGCTCTGTGATCTAGTCGTGGTTGTATTGAATCAATTGGTGTAGAAAAAACTTTCACTAGAATGGTGAACTGGTTATCAATTCCTGTTTTCCACAATGATTGGTATGCCTTTGTTTAGAGTTCTGTTGTATCGATTGTTGGTATGTCTTTGTTGATAATGTGTTTACCGCCAAGTTGTAGATGCTGGATTTTTCCCCCTTTTGTAAGAATTCCATGTGTTGTTACCGACGAGTAATACGGCTTCTTTAAGTGCAGATTATGGAATGGATAGACACAAGGAAAATGGCTTTGTCTTCCACAGACCTTGCTACTCGTTTGGATCTGATATCGAAAGTACATGGAGTAGGTGCTGCTGAGAAATACTTCAATGACCTTGTACCTCAGCAAAAGAACAAATATACTTATGGAGCTCTGTTGAACTGCTATTGTGTGGAGAAAATGAAAGACGAGGCATTGGCTCTCTTCGACAGGATGGGCGAATTGAAAATTGAATCCACTTCCTTGGCGTTTAGCAACCTTATGTCTTTGCACATGAGATTGGGAGAGTTTGAGAAGGTGAACACATTGGTAGAAGAAATGAAAAAGAGGGAAGTCCCGTTGAGCACGTTTAGTTACAATATATGGATGACCAGTTCTTCACACTTGGGTGACATACAGGGAGTGGAAAGAGTTTTTGAGGAGATTAAGCAGGAGGGTGAAAGCAAGTGTGACTGGACAACATATAGTAACTTGGCTGTGGCCTATGTCAGAGCTGGGCTTAAAGAAAAAGCCGAGCTTGCTTTGAAAATGCTAGAACAAAGGATGAAACCTCCAAAACGTGAAGCATTTCATTATTTGCTCAGTATCTATGCCAGCATTTATAATTCCGATGAGGTCCATCGTATCTGGAAATCCTTGAAATTAAGTTTCAGAGCAACTACAAATGTGAGCTATCTTAACATGGTACGGGCTTTGAGTAAATTGAATGACATCGACGGATTGAAAAAATTGTTCGAGGAATGGGAGTTAACATGCTCCAGTTATGACATGAGGCTAGCTAATGCTGCTATTGGTGCATATCTTAGAAATGGCTTGGTTGATGAAGCTGAAACAATCCTTCGAAATGTGCAGGAGAGATCGAATGGTCCTTTCGGTAATGCTTGGGAATTACTAATGATATTCTATTTGGAGAACCGTGACCTTCAGAATGCTTTCCGTTGTCTGGAAGGTGCTACACATGACCATAATGACTCTGGATGGCAACCGGGTTCTGATAGCATAAACAAATTTCTTAACTGCATCGAAGAGGGAAAAGATGTTGATAGTGCGGAGGTACTCTTCAAACTTTTGAAGAAGGTACATTGCCTGAAGCGCAATGTGTACAAATCATTACTTAAAACCTACATTGGTGCTGGAAGAATGGAGCCTAATATGCGTGAAAGAATTGAAGGGGATGGAATCGAAATTGATCGTGAACTTGAAAGTCTGTTAAATGTTTGCTGCAAATAACTTTTAAGTTCTTGTCAGAGCAACCTTCCTATACACTGTTAAGTTCAAACGATACACAATACCTTAAAGTGCTACTTCCCGAAGTGTTTGTTTAGTGCTATCTGCATGGTGCATCTAGAGCAAAGCGTGCCATCTTCCCAGCTGCAGTGATTTCTTCAGGTGCAGGCTTGCATTGTGATTTTTAGCAATGGCTCATAAAGGTAATATTTTTATCTTTTATCTATCGCTATTGGGGTTGCTTGCATTTGCTTTAGATCACATTAGAAAATTAGCTGATGTGATTAGAAATTCTTGTTTCAAGATGAGCTAGTTTTTGCGTAACCATTTCTAGCTTTCTTAGTCTTTTAATACATCACATTTTTCTTCTTTTGGCGTATTCTTTTTAGGCATCTGTCTCTAGCGTTGTTGCTAATGGGGCCTGAGGATTGAACTTTTGGTGAAGTTGAGACAAAATTTGAGATGTGCATGGTGCACAAATGAGAACTTCACTGCGAGATTAGGAAAGAGATGACATATTAACTCGGAAGGTTTAGATGAACATGAGCAGGTTGTTGGTTAGAAGAATTATTGCTGAAGGCATGAGACTTGGCTGTATTACAAACAGTTATATTGCCTGTTCAGTTTTACGCATTTCTAGTTTTCTGAGCAATCGAGAGTAGTGTAACTCAATATTGGGGTTAGTATTTACGCTAGTGACTGCCTCAAATCTTCGCTCCTCGGTGAGTTGGATCTTTGTCAAAAATATTGATTAATTGCAGACTTTGAGGCAATTGTAGGCAGATTTTTCGTCCCTACTTTTTTTTTTTTTTTTAATTTATCTTGTGTCAACATTTTCTTCAGATTTTTGTTACTAAATTGCGGAATGCCGGACTTCTGATGCTTTTCTGGGGGTAGTTAACGTTATATTTGTGACTGTTCACAATATCAATGATATTTTTGAATGATGCCTTAGTTTTCAACTGTGGAATAAGCAATTGGGAACAATATTATCCATTGCTCATCTGATACAACAATTGTCCTTGCTCAAAGGAATTTATGTTCTTAAGTAGGAGTTTATCCTTTGATCCAATTGACAAAAAAATTGCTATCCAAACGTGACATTGCTATGCTTTTTGACACTCTAGGACAAATGTAAGATGTGGTTGCTTCAGTGTGCTCTTTTTCTTTTTTTTTTTTCTTTTTTTGCTTTACACAATTCTTGAGGTTTCGGAAATAGCTAAAAACACCTACCTTATGCTCTTTCCGTCTCAAAAAAGAGTTATATTGTTGTCCTGCTTTTAATTCAACTAGAACTCTTAATTTGAGATGGAGGGAGTGATTAAAAATAAAGCAAGGATTGATGATTCTACATTCATTCAGCTATAGTTTGTAAAAAGATTGCCAAAGAGGTAAAACCACTGACATAAATTAATATAAACAACAGTTTTACAGTGATTAAATTCCAGAAATTTAGAAGGGTTTAAAGTAGATGCATTAGCATTACATGGAAACACTAAAACAGACAGGGTATCCTTCTACAGATTAACAAACTACCAATCCTTCCTAGCACTTGTTTACTGCATCTTTAAAGTTTAGATAACCTGGCTACTCAACAAAGCCCCTAAAGGAGGATAGGTTAGAACCAATATGGGTAGAGAGAATTTACCCGTTCCTGAAGGTCTAAAGAAGGTTAGGAAGATGCATAATTTTCATCATTTCAACCTACGGGTTTGCTTGTGGACTATCCAAAAATTTCATCAGCGCTAACTCTTACCTGCTTACCATTTCTTCATGGTGAGAAAACTAGTTCCAGCTTAATAATAACTAAGTTTTGCCTACTACAGCAAGCTCTCCTTTCAGTCTCAGGACTTCACCCGCATAGAAAGCCAACTTCTTCTTCAAGTCATCCGAAGCTGATTTATAATTCGTATTCATGACATTCATCTCATCTAAAGTCTCCTTCTGCCGTGTGCGAAATGCATCCAGCTTACGCTGCGTGAAATGAAGTCGCATTCTGATCTTGGCCTTATCCTTGTTGCTAATGATTTCATCCTGCTTGCATTTAACAAAAAAGAAACGAGGATTCAAGATTAAGACAAATTTAACTTGACAAGCAAAAATAAGACATTGAGATTTCGATATATGGTCAAACGTCCTCCATCTTATCCTATATTTAATTAAAGGCATCTACTTAAGTGATTCCAAGTAGGTTAAGTTTCCAAAACTCTTTTCACATATCAGATGGCATCAGATACTTCTTGCATCAGCTTTGAGGGAACACCAACTTAGCAGATAAAGAGGCTAGGCAAACGCGTAGAAGTAAATGCATCCATCCCATAGACACCAGATCTTTACAGTTTCTTTAGCAGCACCAAATTGATTGACTAAAGGACAAACTTTATACATGGGGTTTTAAAGAAAAACTAATTTCAAATGATTCGTTTCAGGTTTATCAACACTTAACATCGGTAACCACAGTATCCATGTAAAATGAACTCTCCTGTTGAAAGAGAGCACATGTATCAGACAGAAAAGGACTGAGATTTGGTCAAACCAAACTGAATACATTCTAGTGAACATTCAGCATGTTGAAAAAGAAATTTCTTGACAGTAAGTTCAGAGATGGAACTGAACAACATTATGAATATACTCAGACAAAATAAGTATCCAAGAAAAATAAATTTACCATCCGCATCTTGGCCTCTAAAGAGGAGAGACTCCCACGTAAATCATCCAACTCTTGTTTTGTGGTCAAGCACTGTGCAAAAATGACCAATTATTGGGAAGCATCCAATAAAACAAAATCATACATAGGCAAGCAAGCCAGCTGTCACTTTGTTAATTTTTTTCATTAAACCAAGTGCAACATTGCAGCATTTATCAGCTCTGATAGTCAGTGCTTAACGCACGACTAGACACTACCTTAAGGTCCTCCGATGTCTGTGACCCAGTATCCAGCATTCCCAACTGAGCAATCAAGTCTCCTCTTTCTTTCTTAAGCAGAAGTAATTCCTTTTGAACTGTTTCCAGTTCGTCGCCAGCAGTCTCATTCTTTGGTATGAGCATTGGTAGTTGAGAATTTAGATTCTAGCAAAATATCACTAATTAGTTTCCAGAGGAAGCAAACAGATAAAAAAGCAGGTGAACAATTGTTGTAAAGAGAATAAAAGGCACTCATCATACCTCCTGAGTCCTTTCATTTTGAATATTAGAATTCAGTAGGTCTTCTTTGAGCTTATCAATCTCAGCTGATTTCTCCGCACTACATCAGGTTTAAGAGGTTAGTACTCGAGTAACCTTAACAAACGTCTAGAGTTCACCCCAGAAATTGCTGATTTTAAACACCTTAAAGAAGTGCAACAGTTAGCAAGAAGACCAAAAAAAATATGTCAACCTGCTTATCTTCTCCAGTCCTGCATTTTCTTCAGCAAGGGCTAATCTATCCTGGAGGACCTTGCATTGGTTTCTACAAACCTCCAGCTCCTCTTTTACCTGATAATTTCAGATTAGTATCATGATCAGGTCTTCATAAGCTAGCGAATACTCTTTGAGCTTCACACTGAAAACTTAATCTCAATTGAAGAAATTCATGCCAAAAGAAAGAGCATTCTAGATAAATTTACGATACACCAAAAGGTTAAAACTGGCCCCACAGAACGAAACATACATCAATTAATTTATAACTGATCCCACCAAACTAAAATATATATGTTAGACTCGAATCTGCAGCATGATTTACCAAACAGAAGTGTTCAGAGTTCACAAGCAAGATACGCCAAGAGATCCTAAAACAGTCAAGGTTTTAGAGTTCTATTTGTAAAGAGGAAGATAATTCTGACAATTTTTTTACGGCGATCTGCATTATTTAGTCATTGTACTGGCATATAATGAATGTAAAAGCCCTTAGTACATCTAACAATCACCCACAATCACCCATCTCCAAGGTAAAACAATGATATCTCCTCCTGTCTTATCAAATCTCAGCACAAACCAATTTACGTCTAGAATAAACCGTGTAAGGAAATTCAGATTCTTCCTCGACCAGAAACAGTCTAACCATAGGTGTTGAAATTGCAACTGATACCCTTTACAAATCAAATGATAAAGTGCAAAGCAGCAATCTTTGGCGGTACAGAATCATTTTTTCCATGGGATTGAGGCAGGATTGCTATGATAATCCACCCATTGAGTTGAACCTTGCATTTCTGTGCAATTTCAGTCATCAAGTTCAGAGCATTTCTGAAAACTGATCCCATTCCCCAAAGGCCAAATGAAATACTAACAATAATGCCTAGCACTCCATCAGAAATTGGGTAAAACAAAAAGAGAAACCTTCGCCAGGTGTTAAGTGAAGTTACCATCAACACAGAGGAACTTGATGTTCAACTTTTTGTGCAAGAAAGTTACAGCAACTCATTGCAAATCTCTCAAGAAAATGGTGAACTCTAGAACCTCCCAAACAAAAAGGTAAAATCAATTTAAGTAACAAACTTTGAAAGAGCAACCAGACCCATCTAACATAAAAGAATCAAATTAAGAAACTACACTGCTACAAAAAATATGTTCAAGAACATAAGTATGCAGAGTAGCATAAGTAGAGTGCCGATGATCTCATGGACATCAGATTCATCTAACATATAATAATTATATTAAGAAATTACACTAATAGAATGATATGTTTAAAGAGATACGCATCGGAATAGCGTAATCAGACATCCATGGTAGTTTCTCATGGACATCAGATAACGAATAAAACTATTTCATCTTACATAAATAAAGCAAAAAAGTGCAGGACCAAAAAGGCCTTCTCATATAAGCCTAGCGTAAAACACGAATAGTTGCAAGCAACCAACAGTTCATCACTTTCATAAGACTATATCTCCATGCAAACATTGAGACAACAAGTAATCATTCATTCCCCGAACTACTAAAATCTCGAATTACAATGTGACTAATGTTATACAATAGCTTCCATCAATGAAACAAACAAGGGGTGGAAGTATCATTTAAGACCATCAAATCTTCAAAAATTTCTGTCAACTTGTGGTAGAAAAAATGCACTACAGCAATTAGGTAAGTTTAGAAGGTTACCACTGATATTTGCTGCACTAGAGAGGCAGCCTCTGCATTATGTAACTTTGACTTGTCTTCAATGGCTTTAATTGAAGCCTTCTCCTTTGAATACCAGATTGCTTTTTCCTCCTCCATAAGCAACAGGGCATCAGTAAGTTGCTGCAGTTTGAGATGATAAATGCAATTATTAGATAAATATAAAGAAACAGCACAGATGTCATGCAATTTCCATATTTGTTTTCCTTAAAACACATCACTTCTCTTTACCATTGCCATCTCTTCCTTTTCTTGTTTCAACGAATTAAGAGAGCCTTCCAAGATCTCATTGTGAGACTCATATTTCTTGAGATTTGATTGCTGGTGCATACAACAACAAAAAAAAAAAAAAAGAAGAAAAAAAAAAGAAAGAAACCCACAAAAGCATACCAATTAATTGTGAAAAAAAAAAATGAGAAAGGCAATAGAGCCAAACAAGGTAATACCCAAACGACTAGGTGAAGGATACATACAAGGCTCGCAATTTCTTCTTTTAAAGTAGCTAATTCATTGTTTGACATCTTCAACTCTTCTGCTAATGCATTTATATCAGAAGCCAAACTTTCAGCTCTCAGAATTGCTTCTCCCTTTTCTCCTTGTGTAACTGCTAATTCCTCCTCCAATACAGCAATGGTTGCTTCCATCTCAAATGCAAGTACTTCCAGCTTCCTATGTTCTTCCTTCAGAAAGTAAGAGTATGCAAATAAGGTTTAAAAGCTTCAAGAAAATGGAAACGAATGCAGTAGTCATGGTTGCGAGACTCGAAGGGGTGACATTGGGTCTATAAATCTATAAATCTTCTAGCTCTGTGCCAATATCAATTTATATTTTCAGATGATTATTAATAACAAGTTAGCTTATTATTGTGTCGATACAAATTTAAATTTTTGATTAACGAGTAAATTTGATTATTGATGGTCAGTATTTCAGGTCACAAAGTTGATGTGGCTGCTCTATGATGATTTCAACCGAGGGTGTTCACAATGGAGGCTAAGTTATTGCAAAACACTAAAAGAAACTACAGTAGTGTGCCTCATTAAAATGGAGGTAATTAGCAAGAGTTATTAGCATATAATATCACATAGGTAACATTTCCCCATCATGGCACCATGTTACTATGTAATCCAAAACTAAAACTACGAGTATGAAGGTGAAGGCTGTTCCTTTTGGCTCTTTCATCTGTTTAGAAATTTTCTTGCGATAGAAACTCGATAAGGCAACTAAAAGTTACCTTGTTAATTGAGAGAGAGTACAATAGAACCTTGAATCCAGAGGCTTCAACAAAATTCACACTATAAATTGATACCTGCTCAACAGCTATTGCAAGGCCTCTTCCTCGTTTTGGATCAAACACATTTGAGCTTCTGTCGACAATTGAATCACGCTTTCTCCCAACAACTGAATCGCGCTTGCTGATATCACGCTCAAGAATTGCCTTCTGATTATGCAAGCGTTTGTTTTCCCTTTCTATGCATGCTTTTTCACCCTACCCAAAAGAAATTTTCTGTTACAACAAAGAGACCATATTAGAAGTTACAAGAATAGAATATGTAAACAAAACCTCAAGTTTCGTCCTTTCTTGCATGGCATTTTTCATCTTGGCTTCGGTGTCTCTCAACTTGGATTTTGTTTTCTCCAATTCTTTTCGAATACTTTCTTTTTCCCTAGCCAGGGAACTTGATGATAAGCATAATAATTCATTCTGAAGAGCTTGGATTTGAGAAAGGAAATCAGATTTTTCCAGTTCATAGTTTTCAGTGGCTTCCTGGGAAAGAATATCTCAAGTCATTGCATAACCTCGCTGGGCAAAACAGATATGTTGTTCAGTAACTTACTGATAAAGCACTCGCAGAATTTTCGGCATTAACAGTTACTTCTGCAATCTGATTGTGGAGATCCAAAGCTTTTTTGGACAGAGTAACCTAGCAGTCATATTGAGAATTTCAAGACACTGGATACATGTATTCAACTGTTATAAAGTTTTATATGTACAAGGTTTCACCACCTTCTCACTCTCAAGTTCTTTAACCTTGTGATCCAAGTAAGAATTTAACTTCTGATGGCTTGTAATTATCGTTTTTACATCCAAGGAAGTCTGGAGGAATAACCTCTTGAGATCCTAAAATTGCACAAGGAGTTCAAGGAATAGCATTAGTGATTCAGATATTATGAACATCGAGATTAATGGTGATACTAAAATCATTACAACTCAGACAATTCAAATTCACAGCTTTAAGATGTTACAATACTCACAGCCAAGATGCCTGCCAAGGAATTTAAGTATTTGAAAAGGTCATTGACATCGAAAGTGGAAGTCTTCATATGACCTCTGGAGCTCTCAATTTCCAACACCAATTCTTGGATCTCCGCCGATAGCTTGATAGATAAGTCAAGATTCTCGTCCTATCAGAGATCAAATATTATTCCAGATGCCCGCACAAGAAGAATGAAAAAGATTACCAGCTAGCACATTAATATGATACTGTTTCATTAGTGGTCATGAAATACAAGATGAAAAACTACCCTTTTCAACCACCCAACCCCACAACAGAAGACAAAAATGAAAACCAAAAAAAAAAAAAAAAAAACTTGTCCTTCCCATGGAGAGAGAGAGAGAGAGAGAGAGAGAGAGAGAGAGAGAGAGAGAGAGAGAGAGAGAGAGGGAGCTGCACTTACTCCAGATGGTGGCATTAAATTGAGTTGCTCATTGGCTGTCTTCACCTCTTCTTGCGCACTCAGGAGTGTTGCATAAAGCTAGCCGAAAAACCATTAACATCCAAAAACATAAAGTTGTAAGAATTTCCATATTACTCTACAATACACAACTGATTCAAGACAGAGCATACTTGCAGGATAATAATGGACATATATTGAGATAAAACATATTTTTGGACCGCCTAATGAACTCAGGAAGTTGCCAAGTTTAACATCTTAAGTACGGAATCTCATGTTACATTATGAGGTGCAGTCCAATCTAGACATTTGAAAACATTGTATTCATCATTTCTAGTTTTGCATGACTTGGCTGTCTATATAGATAAGGATAACTTCCAAAAGAAACTGAGGGCTCAAAAAACATGTGACTGAGTGCACATCTGTATGCAGCCAAACAAACAGCTCAGTACAAAAGGTAGATCCATAAGACCTGGCAGATCTGCACTTCATTTGTGCATTTATATTAACTCATCCTGCATTAGACTACACAAAAGTGTAAAGCAACTGACTCACTCCATCATGCCACTGTGTTCAAGCTCAGAGAAACTTTCAATTGTTTTGGGTATTTCTTTGACATATATGAATCCATCAATATTGCGTAAAACTTTGTTGAGTTGTTTCATAAGGTGGCATATATATTCCGAAAATATAGAGCATTGGACAGCTGGATCAGGTTTTGTTCAAGGTTTCAATGGTTTAGAGTATACCTTTCTATATGAAAGTACCTCTAAAACAAAGAAATAGGGGAGGGGAGGAGCGGGGGTGTTGGAGAAAAGAGATAAAAGAAGAAAGAAACCCTGTTACAGGAAGAAAAACAGGATTTGGACACAGTCAACGCACAGCTCTTTATAATACCCATGAAATAGTTATCATTACTAGCCATGCTCCAATTTGCATGTTATCAAACATAACGGACCGAATTCAGCTTCCTTAATCAGAAAAATAAATAAATAAAAAAGGTTAGTATAAGAGACGTAGTACCTCATCGTACTTCTCCTTGGCGGATATGGTCTGCTCAGTGGCTAATTCAACAAGAGAATCCAAATTTTGCTGGCTCGAAGATTTCTCCATCTCTAACATAGCAATCTGTAAATTTGTGGGAAAAAAAACACAAACAAAATCCATCCACGAGGAGGGAAAATGATTTTGAACTTGAACATAAAGATGACTTCCATAAGGACCAAAAAAAATGGTAAAGAGTGCTAGAGCAAATTACCTTTTCTTGAAGTTGTTTGATTACAAGAATAGCTTCCGATTTTCCCGAACGCTCTATGCAGCTGATTTCATCAGTTAGGTTATCCTCACATTTCTTCCGAGAGAAATCACCCTCAGCAAGCCTTCTCCTTAAATAGTCCACATGTATTTGATTCATAGTTCTCTGCAAAGAAAAAATAAAGCCAATTTTGCAATATCACGTCAACGACTGTGCAAATATCTGTTGTAGCTAGATAATCAAACCTCGGTTTCAAATTGTACGATCAAATCTTCATATTCTGCTTGAATTTCCGCTAGTTCACTATTACACTGCCAAGGAAAGGAGAGTTACAACCAAATTTCATGCGGAAGAAAAATCAGAAGGTGAAATGATGAACTAGGGAAATACCACCTGTAAGCTCTTCTTTCCGGTTGGTAATTTCCTCCTGCTAGTAACATGCAACAAAGAAAGTGGATTAGGAAATGTGCAGTCACCCTGCACATTACTCTTGTCAAATTCTTTTTCCTTGCTAGACTCAACCAGACTAGCTTCATCCAAATCTTCAAAAGACAGTAGGGGACCTGACTGACGTGCTATTCTTCCTGGTTTCCCCAAAGAAGCCTCTTCTCCAACTTCAGACTTAAACTAAATCCACATGGAGTAAAATTATAAATCATTGGGACAAAACTGCATATACCTTTTTAAACACAGATTGAATAAGCATGGTCAACAAAGAACAATTAAATTACATCAAGTTAGTGATTATTGATAATGAGGTAACTAGCAGCGGTACCCTTTCATTATCTTACATGGTTCTTCAGAGAAAATATGGTTAAGGAGTTTCTCTCTTCTAACTTATTTGATATAGTGTTGGAAACTAGCTGCTACTGTTAGTTCTAAAACTGTAACAAACTTGAACAAATGACTTGGCAACAAATGATTACCGGACACTGTACCATTTTATCCATGAGCTTTGGCATTCATTGCAGCGCAATATTCATGTGGATGTTTCCATTATTAGAAATGAGCAACAAAATAAGAACATTACGAACTATTTGGCCATTCCATTTTGAGATTGTCTTAACATAAAGGTTAAAAAGTTCACGTACAATCAGTGAGCAAAATGTCTTCATTAAATTTAGATCAGTGTTTGCACAGATGCAAAGGTTTACAATTTTTATCTATATGCTTTCACTCATCCCCGAAATGCTTATTCAAGGCGGCCTATTTATTGCAAGTACCAAATAAGTTGGTCAACAGAACTGACATTACAAGTGATTCTCAGTACTTCGAGTTCAAGATTGCTGTTACATGCATGACATTCTTTTATAATGTGCAGAGACCCATTCCCACAAGGTCTTATGTTGATTTGCTATAGTTACCAGCTCTCAAAGGTACTACAAATTATGCACCCATTTAAAAGCACAGAAAGCGAATACCTACTAGAAACACAAGAAAGATGAATTAATCTGACTACTACCTCAGATATAGTTTTCCTCGAGAGCTTGCTCGGGCACCAGGTTTCACGCCGCTTCTCCTGTAAAATAGAACTTTAAAAAAATTAACGGAAGAAGTTCTTGATCTTCTATTTATAGAACTAAAGGGGTTCAAAGTACAGTTGAGCTACAGACGTCTAGGATTACCATGACAAAAGTCCAAGGAGCAAAGGACAATGTATCAAGTTCCTAAAGCACAAATATTTAAAGCATCTAGCTATTGCTTTTGGCCTGAAAGTAGTTTTCCAAGTTAAACTTCAAATTCCTTACCAGTACCATCTCATTAACAACAAACAAAAACATACCACAGTCCCGGTATGAGGCATCGTCTATAGGGATTACATCACACCATCACCTTCTGACAGAACATGTATTCTGACTGGGGTTTACGTAAATCATGTCTCTCTTCAATTGTTTCTTTCTACTAAATTTTAAATGTTAGTTTTTACCTTTAAATTCTAGATAATTATACAATGTTTTCTACAAATACCATTTATTTTGCAAGGGTAAATAAACTGATCATTCACCAAAAGAATTGAAGTAGCCACTTCTAATAACTAATTATCATAAAAACCAATAGCGAAAAATGTTTCTTCAACACTCCTAGCATTGTCTTTCATAGGAATGGATACAACATTTCAGAAAATGGAATTTAAGTTGCAACATTTCATGAAGGCTTTTAGAAATATGTTTAATAATCTCGCTTTCTTAAAGTGCTAACCTTGGTGGGGGAGGGATTATGGTAGCTCAGGGCAGTATGAGAGCGCTTTAAAATTTTTTTTTCCCCCAACATTAAAATGACATAAGCCAATATAAATACAGTTTAAAAACTCATAGTAATCAACACAAAAGTTTTGAAACAAGGAAATTGCAACTCCATCACATACCTTCTTGTAGACATCACTAATTTCACTTTTACTTGAGCAAAGAACCATAGAACTTAGGTTCCGAATTTTTTTGGCTTGCTCCTCCAACCTTTTTTCATTTTCAGCCTGAGCTTTTTTTTCCTCCTCCAGTGCCAAAGCCATTCTTTCCCTCTCGAGTTCAACCTATTGAGAAATTTCAGTCCGAAAAGGATGATGCATGGTTATGGCAACAGAAAAGAGAGGTTCATTATTACCTTTAGCAAATCATTCCGCAGAGTAAGAATCTCTTCTTCAAGATGCTCTGAATGTGAATCCTACAGCATAATTATTTGAAAATTTAATCGAAAAGTTTGTACAATCCCTTGGAAACTAAGGTGTGAAATTTGTAAGGTCTTATGGCCTAAGGACTTCACCAGCAGTTTGGCTCGGAGCTCTTCAATTTCCTTCTTTTGACGCTTTAGCAGAGCAGCATCAGTCAAGATCTAGCATCAGAAAAACAGAAACAAGAAAAAAACATAAAAACATAAGAGTCAAATTGTGGACTAGAACCGATGGAAACAATGATGAACATAACAAAACCTTGTGCCAGAGAACCAACCTCATTCACGTGAACACAATTTGTTACACGCAATGCTCTACTGGCGAATTGAAGACTACTCTTAGTCTCATCAGCATGTGCCTAAAATCAAATAAATTAAGGACTCAAAGTGCATAAAGTGAGAAGATTGAGTAGAGTGTACAACAATACCAAAAGCACAAAGCACAAAAAAAAAAAAAAAGAAATCCTTTTAGCGCAAAAGCAAAAATTTAAATAGGACTTACAGCAAACTAACTCTAAGCTTCAGTCTTAAATGAAAAAATAGATTTTCCAATATATATGACTTCAAGTTCTTGTAAGGTTTCCCCATTAAAAGTTATCGCTTAGATGTATTTTTTTAATTTGTTCCAAAAGAAAACATTAAAAAATGATCAGGGTTCTTAGCTTGATGAAAAAATACACTCATTGAACTATAGAATTCATAAGCTAAAACAATAATAACATCTGATACTGAGATCATGCCCGAATGCAAATAGGTTTTCTTCCATCTAGGCAACTAGAACTAAAAACTTGAATAAGCTACATCCACCAAATGATCTTAAATTCCTGATGAAGCCTAGGGATGTATTAGAATGCATAAATCTCAAAATGCATACTTCACATGCACACACAAACAGGAAGATAAAATCTATTTGCCAAGAGAAATGCACAACTGTTATTGCTTGCAAAGTGGAATCACTGAGACAATTCAAACGAGTAGGTAGGCATTATAAGAATAAACAAGTAGGCAGTGTATCACACAATATAAATTCCCACCTGTGCCAATGTTATATTGCATATGATGGCAGTATTTGCATTTCCTCCTAATGCTGGTTGCAGAATACGAGTGAGTTTGCTGTCCCTATAGGGAACATGACCTCTGCAGATGGCAAATCAACTTTAACATACATGCAAAAATAGAAGTGGCCGTAAACCACAAAATATATATATATATATATAGAAGTGGCCATTTTGATACAAGTTTCGAGCTTACCCTTGGCTCTCAACCCCTTCACTGAGTTTTTTAATGACAGTTCCTAATGTCATCAGGCTCTTGTTGATGTGAGAGCCTTCTTTCAGTCGAACTCCCTCTGCTCCAGTCTTGGCAGCACGCTCGGAACCAGCCAAATCCACCAAATTCTGCAAGAAAACACTGGCATCAGCAAGACAAAAATGATAAAGTTAAAAGCGAAAGAAATAATTTACATTACATGTCTGATGTTACCACTGACAAAGCGAGTATGAAAGAGAAGGGAGTACCAGAACGGATACACGGACAGCATCACATGAACTGTCTGAATCAGCATCTTGCTTCTCCCTGCTCTCAATTATCTAAAGGAGTTGAAATTTGTTAATTTTGGATAGACAAATTCCAGCATAGAAGATCAAAATAAACGAGACCCACCATGCGGAATATCGTATGTGATCTACTGCTGTACACATTCATATTTGTCTCCCCAATATGGCGATGTGCTGTAGAAAATTGTAAACAGGAGAGAGAGAAATTAGGACTTCTTGGATTCTATAATGCTATTTTGGTCCCATCCCCTACCCTCAGCAGGAAACCTGGCCCTCCTTCCCACTTTTCTAAGAAGAGGTGAAACATGAAAACTACTCATAAAAATATAGGGAGACCCCAAGATTTCAGAACTTGGGAATGCATAAAAACTAAAACATCAAATCTCTAAGAACCATAAAAAAATAAAGAAAAACAGAAAGGACTTCTTGACAGAATTAAAATTCCATATCAAATAAATCAATAAGAATCAGACCCAATCTGATACGGAAAACAGATGAAATTGTGAAAAGCAATTTAGGAATTTTAATAAACTCTCAATATTAAGGATTTTTTAAAAGGTATGTAACTTACTTTCTCCGAACTCCATGAGTCCCAACACTTGCTCAGGAGAGGCCACAATTTCTTCTCTTAAACCAGCCACAAAAATTCCCCTCTGTACATGGGAGGAAGTGTGAAATGTTTCTTGGATGAAAGATCAAATTAAATGGTGTGGGATATATATATACCTCGATACTTTCATGAATTTGTAGTCTTCGGTGCTCTGGAGCTAACAGATCATTTATTTCCTCATTGTAGATCTCTAAATAAGACATGCGTAAGAGAAATTCTCGATCGCATTCCTGCAAACAACATATGAATGCAAATAATTAAGTGTTCGACATGAAACCAATAAGGTAGACTATCCATCTTCTCCTTAGACTTGATTATTCTTCGAATCCAATAGCATATTAAATCCAAACTAGAGTATTCATAGCACCATACATAGGTCATAATGATAAGAAGATTAGCTGTCCAAACTCACCCAAATCACAAACTAGCATGCGAAAGTGATATCCTAAAAAGTTTCGAAGATCCATTGGTACAACAACAAAGTTGCTGCACATGTTAAGGATGAATTTTTGGAAGGTTTTGAGACAACCTAATTAAGTTTTTTAATCTTACTATAGGAACTAAATGAATCGATAAGTAATAGCATTATCAGTCATCATCATGGCTTAATCTAAGTGTACCGTCCAAAATGTAACGGGAAGCCCATCTGATGGGCTCAGTAAACACAGTTAAAAATCCTGCTTAATGTGTATCAATCAAAAAGTTCAAATCATCATCAGGTTTTTGCTCAATGTGGTGTCCCCATATTCAATTATTTTGGAACTTGCAAAATAAAATTTTCCTCTATTAGGTACTACAATATTTGGCAGCAATGTTTCAGCATGTAGAGAAAATTTTGAACTCGAACCAATAGTTAGACGTCTTGCGTTTGCAGACATATTAAATGAGCAAAAAAGGCCTGTGAAGAAATGGATTAATTACACCTACCTCATCTATCATATCAAACAAATCGTGGACAGCAAGAGGGATGACTCCTGGTTCAGAAGCTGATCCTCGCATCGTATGCGTTTTCCCACTACTTGTTTGTCCATATGCAAAAACCGTTCCTATACATAGGGTGTTGAAAAGGGAAAACAAAAATTAAAACAGTGTAGCAGAGAAATACTAGAGAGCATCAATTTTATGAACATTTTCTCTGCAAAAACAAATGTACAAAGGTTGCAAAATCAGTACCATTGAATCCACGAATTGCAGCAGCCACAATGTCCTTAGTCCGAGAGCTGTAGACTTCTGAAGTTTTGCAGTCCTCCTGAAATATCCTATCTGAAAACCAAAAGAAAACCAAATAAGTTCAAATGCGCGAGTAGAATTCCGGCGCGGAAAAAACAAAATTGAAATATTACCGAAGTCAAATTTTGAGGAGTGATTTGGCATGAAAATCGAATTTCCAGAAATGCGCCATGGGCTAGCCTTTGCATCCTCTAGTGAAAGAGGTCTTGACCGGACCGATACATGAATTCTCTCCATGGTGGCTCCAAGGAAATTCTACGGTCAGGTGCCCACTGATTAAAGGAAAAAATGCCTGAGAGAAAAAAGCTACTTATAGAATGAAATCGCCGGTGTCTGACCACCTCTAAGTTATTCTAACCGCCATGGCGCAGGATAAATTGTCCATGGAGGAAGGGAGGGTTGAACCGCCGGAGTTCTAGGGTGGTGAAGCGGTGGAGGAGGGCCGCTCTGAATTTGGGTATTATTTTGCCGCCCAAATTCCACACTAAAAATTTCAAGTCGAATTTCGGGGGTTTTGAAATGCGAGACGGAAAATTATACTTTTGGTCCCCCAATATTTTCATAAGTGCTTAACTGAGTCCTTATTGTATTAAATAATTTCAGCATTGGCACTTGGACGGAAAATTGGAAGTTGGAACCACTTAACCGGCAAATCTCAAATCAACCAGGAGCATTACTTTTCGCAATTCAGAAATTACTCACATGTAGTTCGTTTTTAACAATTTTGCCCCTAAATCCTTTCTATTTCCCCTTTCTCCTTCTCTTTTCTCATTTCTTCCTCTTCTTTCTATTTTTCTCCTTCTCCAACTTCATCTTATTCTTCCTTTTTATCAAATTTTAAATCAAGATCTACTACATATCGAAGTTTTAAAAAATGGGTAAACAAGACAAACAACAACGGGAAGGAGCACCATCGATGCCGATAAATTTTTTTTACCAAATCTTATTTTAAAAAAAAAAAAAAAAAAACTATCTGCCTAGACTGGCCGACCCGACCGCCGGTCAGCCTGGAAACCTTGGCCGGTGAGAAATCTGGCCAAGGGTGGAAGATCTGACCCGGCCAATCCTAAAATAGTGATCGGCCATGGAGTCGGTCACTATTCTAGGATTGGCCGGTTCCTGACCCGGCCAATCTTCTACCCTTGGCCGGATTTCTCACCGCCTAAGGTTCTCGGGCTAACCAGCAGTCGGGTCGGCCAGTCGGTCACTGTGATTTTTTTTATTTTTTTGTTGTAATTTTTTTGTTATAATTAATTTAGTTAAATTTATTTATAATTAATATAATAGTTGTATTATTGTTTGATTAATTTAGTTAAATTTATTTATATTAATGTAATTAGTTGTTGAATGTTGTGTTATTATTTTTTATATGTCATTTAGTTTTTTCTTGTGCTTTAATAACATGTTTAATTTAATTTATTAAGTATAATTTGTTTAATTTATATTTATTTTTGGTATTTAGTTAGTATTAATTTGTAGCCTTTAGTAATTATTGTGTAAATGAATTAGTTATTTTGTTATGTATTGCAATTTTTTTAAATTTGATATATTTTATTTACAGGATTATGGTGGTGACGGTGTTGATTACAGTCATCATTTCAATACTAACATAAGATACGCAACTATTGAGGAAGTTGTGTTATGGGCGAAAAAGATTTCGATATCTCTTAATTTCACAGTGGTTAAGGCGTCACAGACAGATGAGACTAAGAAATTATTACGATGTCCAAAGGGTGTTCCGCCTAGAGTTACAAAGAATCGGGTGCGAGAAACAAAGGCGCAGTATTCTGGATGCCCGTTCCGACTTCTAGCCCAAATTCGCCCAGGCGCATATACTTTTGGGATTCGTTCATGTCTCGGTCGTAATGGTATGCATAACCACCCATTTGGCAGCTTCGAGGAGGGATAGATGCAGATGAGCGGTCTTAGTGATAAATCGAAGGCGATTGTTGACGAATTGACTGCCATTAATATAAAACCGTCTGTAATGCTGCGGGCGATTCAGCATAAATGCTCGGACGAGCACGTTTTGATCAAACAGATATACAACTACAAGAGTAGGATGAAGGTGGAAACAAATGTAAGAAGTTAGACATAACATAACATTCTGAAATTGAGCAAACAAATCCAATAAGTAACACATAACATCCAATAAGTAATTCCTCAATGTCTCTGACTCAATCGGAATTCATTTTGAAATTGAGCAAACAATGCCTCGTGCTCCTTTACTCTCTCCGCATCTCGCGGAATGTGGAAAGTGCATTTTTTTAAAGCCGGCCCACTGCAAAAAAAAAAAAAAGAAAAAAGTACCGCCATTAAAAAAATTACACAATTAATAATATAGTATATAAACATTTCAATAAATGGTTATACAATAAAGACTTACGTGAGATGTGGTTCTAACTCCACCTGTAGTAGTAGCATCTAAAACCAACAAAGGATGCGAATATTTAAAGTACTACTGGAGGTAATTAGGAGCGCATGCAGTCTGATCATGATCACTCCGCTTAAAAAAACTCTAGATCCAGCCCGGAACTGAATGGGAATTGCATTCAAGCATCTAACGCCTCAGTGGCCCTCCATGAAACCTTGTAGGAGTGGTGATTACCACTACGAACCGCACTAATGGGATGACGAATGAGTGGAGGGATGACCTGGATGTACCCAATCTGGCGCAATACTCGATTAGGCAAATATGGCTCAATAATATCGCGGTACTGTATCTAGCCACTGTATATGATCCTTGGATCATCGCAAACGGGCTCGGAGCCATAAGGCAATCATTCAACCTACACAAAAGATATAAGATAAGTTAACAACATTATTTTGCCGCACAATTATAAATTAAAATGTGGGAAAAGTGACGTACATCAGTGGGTGTCAGCTTGTCGATCTGAAGGCGAAGCTTCCTCAGACATTTTGTACTGTTATCAGGAATTGGGATGTCATACCATCCAACTCGGGGTTGTCCAGGAGTCTGAGTTAAAAGTGGTCTGAAACATAGAAAGTACACATATATCCATGACTGAAGAAGTGTAGCAACCAAACATTGAGGTATTTTGCAATCTGGTGGGCACGCCTAGCTGACGGTATAGATAGGCTAGAGCAGACCCCCAAGAAATATTGTCACAGATGACTAGGCCATCAATAAACTCGGAGAGGATCGTCGCTCTAATCCGAGTACCACTCCTGTCGGTAAACAACGTATTTCCTAACATGACCCATAACCAGGCGATCACCTCATCTAAACCAGACGCTGCCGCTCGGCCTGCCTTCACGACAAGACTCGACTGAACCCCTCCACCGTGGATTAGTTTACTAGTCTGCAGCGTTTGGCTAGTCATTTTCAATGCCCTCATGACCAAAGTCTTACAATTGACAGTCCCAGGTTGTGTTGTAATCAATCTACCACCAATGGGAATACCCAAAATCTGTCGCACATTCGTGTAACATGATGGTTATCTCCCCAAAAGACATGTGAAACGTGTTGGTGTCTGCCTACCACCTCTCCACGAATGTTGTAATCAATGCCTTATCAATGTTAGTGTGCATGATGTCCACGATGTGGGACAACCCTGTACCAGCCAATAAGATTTGATTCTCTGTTGACATAGAACCCTTCCATTCATTCAACAACTTGAAGTATGTGACTCTTGTATCCATCTCCAATGAGGGTTTGGACGACTTAGCTGTCAAGAGATGAGCCACATGACCAAGGAAACTGGGAATAACAAAACCGTCATGAGGGCCACCAACAACTTGCCTCGTGACAACCCAAGGCTGGGCAGTACTTGCTGAAATTTACGTAAGCAAATTAGTCTTTTTTCCGGTCAAATATTTGAATGTTGTGTAACTATTAAAAAGTAAAACTTAAACCTCATAATCTAATTTCTCACCCGATGATGATGATGCAGATGCAGTTGTAGATGCAGATGCAGTTCCACGTCCTCTAACACTCAGACGAATAATATTGCTTCGTCTAACTGGGGGTGAATGTGAAAGTGAATGTGGGGGTGAATGTGGAGGTGCATGTGGAGGTGAATGTGGAGATGAGTCACCACCGAAATCATTAAACCCTTCCGAGTCGATATCTTTAATCGGGACATCCTCGTTGTCACTCACATTCTGTAGGTCCAAACTAGTATGATTAAATACATCGACCAGTCCCACACTACTACCGGCCTGACCCATATGCGACTGACCCTTTGACTTATGCCCAGTTGGACTCCCACAACGATATGAGGCTGAAATAACTCGACCATGCATGTCCCGTGTACCCGACCCAAGCAACAATGGAGAATCAAGTACATCTTGCCTTTTTTTTTTCCTCCCTTTAACCTACATTAATGAATATATATAACTACTCCACTACAATAGTCAAAATAGGAATCAAAACAAATTCAATTAAATAAATTGTACCTAATTAATTGTACTTTTAACCTACATTAAATATTATATATAACTATTCCATTGAAATAAAGATTCAAATAAAAATTAAAATAAATTCAATGATTAATTATACATATGGCTAAATTAATTACAAATCTAATTAAATTAATTACAAGTAATAACACAACGTTCAACAACTAATTACTTAATTATAAATAAATTTAACTAAATTAGTTATAACAAAAAATATTACCAAAAAAATTTTAAAAAAAAAAACGAAAAAAAAACTTGTTGTCCCTAATCCGGCCAATCCATTACCCTTGGCCGGGTTTCTCACCCGGCCAAGGGTCCCAGGCTGGTCACCGGTTGGGTCAGCCAGCCCAGGCAGCAATTTTTTTTTTCGTTTTTTTTAAAATTGAATTTGGTAAAAAAAATATTACCGGAAACGATGGTGAGTTTTCCCGTTGTTGTTTGTCGTGTTCCGTCATTTTTTTAGAGCTCGATATACACTAAATCTGGATTTTAAGTTTGAAAAGAAAGGAATAAGAAGAAAAAGAATGAAAGAGGAGGGAGAAGAAGAAAATAGGAAGAGGAAGGAGAAGAAGGGAGGGGGGTTTGGTTCAGGGGCAAAATTGTAAAAATGAACTGTAAGTGAGTAATTTCTGAACTGCGGAAAGCAATTCAGATCAAGGAGCCGTTGTCAAACTAATGACCAATTTAGTCCTCTACTTCTCCAAAATCTAGCCAATTTGACTTATAATTTTTTCTCTGTCTCAAATCAAAAGTTTTTGAGAATAACGATTTTTTTTTTTTAAAAAAAAATCTCCTAATGAAGAGTAAAAATCTACCATCACTTTTGATAACAAGTTCATAACAAACTAGATGATCAATTAGTGGATTTCATACAGTAAATTGATAACTCAGAACTACAAATTTGTAACTCTCTCTGTAAATTACTCCCCGATCGAACAAATATTAATTTTTATATTCATGAACAGCGAATCTGAGAAAGAAAACAAAAAAGAACAGTTTGTTAATTTGTAAGTCTACAACTTTAATCTACTAAACGTTAGTCAATTACTGTATTTGTTAATTTAGTTAAATGTTGAAAACTGAAATTATTATCAAGATGAGAGGTTGGATATTTTTAAGAGTAGTAGTATTATCCACAATAAAAATGTTTTACAAAATCCAATGTCTAGTTGAACTGTTTACGGTAATTAGCGGGCCAATTAAGTGTTTGTTGTTTGCTTAATGCGCCTTACATTTAATTAAGAGAATATCTACTTTGAAAAAAAAAATATGAAATAAAAAAATATATAAAATATAAAAACATTCTTAAGAATATCCCACTTAGTAAGAAAATCCCGATTTTTTTCAACTTATTATTATATAAATCTCAAAAAAAGAAAATAAAATAAGTTTTTTAAAAATGGTCCTACGCGGTTATTTAGTGGGCACCGGGCAAGCTTCTTGTGATGTGAATTGTGACGATGTTTTCGGTATTATCGTCTGTCATCACGATTTGTCACTTTGGGAGAATTTCATTCATTCCTGCTTTGTTTTTGTTTTCAAGTTCATTTTCCGCACTCAGAAAATGAAGTCAAATTAGCCTAATAAATCAATAACAGAATCGCTAAAATCCGTGTCAACTTTGTCAGGAAAACGAAACAAACCCGTTATAGCTCTCATGCTTATCATTCTTTCTGGTGTTCTGGTTAATATTACGAGCACGCAATGGTTCAGTAACTGCGACGAAACGCTTGCAAAATCTATAATTTAATGATATTTCACATTTTAGAATGAGATTGATTATCGTTTTATATGTATCGCATTTATCTTGTTTATCTACAGTTTTCGTTATATCGATTGAATTTACTATCACTATTACTAAAGATATTGTAATTAATGGAGTTAAAAAATGTTAAATGCCCACTGAATGGAGGAATAAAAATAAAAGAATGTGATGTCGACGTACACCTCTAAGTGGAAAACAGGAAAGAACACTATAAGCTGGTGGGAATTGGCAAAGGTACACGTCCCCCCATAGGGTCGGTGATTCGAGAAAAATGCCCATCGTCAAGAGTGGGGTTCAAAAGTGACGACGTTGTTTTATCTTTGGAAATGATGGAAAACCAATTATGATAATTATTTACTTCATTTGTACTCCGACAAAGATAATTATTTTAGAACAATGAATTTTTCTCATACCATTAAGTGCAGAGAGCTCAAGTTTTCCAGTTTTGATTAAAAATACCCTCTAATCCATTATCATTTCGACTACGAATCGGATGGATGTTAACACTTGCGACAACAAATTTGTGATAAAAAAAAAATGCATAATTTGCCGTCACCATTTCCCCATTGCGAGCATAATAAGCAAAGGAAAAAAATCAGAGGAAACAGTATATAGACTAAAATGTCCAAATAGTCTCTTAGATTTGGGTCTACTTGAATTTACGTCTCTAACATTAACATTTCAATATCGTAGTTCCAAACATTAAGTTTTCAAACTTTTTTGATCTCATTTCACTGTTTCCGGCTATTGACATGCCGGAATCAGGGATATTTTCGTCTTTTAATTTAATTTGAATTTTTATTAAAATTTAAATCATTAAAAATACTTTAAATTCTCATTTTATTATTTATTATTAAAATATTATCCATTAATTTAAAATATTATTATAAAATTTTAAAATTTGTATTATTTTCAAAATTACTTTTTTCATTTATCATTTACCTTAAGTACTAAGTAAATGATAATTATGTTGCACTTTTAACCTTAGACGCACTGTAACTTAAAAAATTTACCGAGTTATAGTAAATAATTCACAATTAAATTTGAACACGATCAGGTAGCAATGGTTTTATGGTCTACAGACTATAATTTAGATCTGAACACGATGTTATTGAGATTTTCACCGAGAGTTGTAATATAGTTTTTTAAAGTATAATCAATTTTGATACATCGGACAGAAAAACTAGATAAAGTAATAATTTATTAGTCCTAAAAAAAAAGTTCAAAACAATAAAATAAAACCAATTATTTTCTACGTACGGGAAATACTTCATATGAAGTTATATGAACTATGGAAGTCAATTTGTTCACACCACTGACCAGCTCATATACACTAATTAGACAGCTTCTCTTTTGCTTGGATGAATGTCTGCTGTCTCTTTCCTATCCATTTCACATTTCTGTACTCACAACAACAACTACTGATGAAAATTTTAACTCATTAATCAATTAGAGCTAGCACACGTAATCGATCCAACCAAAAACCAAACCCATTGAAAATCACCCCACCAAAAATCCAAAAGTCCCAAATCCTATATATATTAAACAAATTCGCATCTTCATTCAACTCAACCAAACACACTCAATTCTACAGATATCCCAATAATCTAATCAGTTATGATGTCTCACTTTTTACCACTCTGTTCAATGACAGTCTTTTTGTTCCTCCTTTTGATCATATCCCCTGCCATAGCTTGTGATCGCTGTGTTCACCTGGGCAAAGTTGGTTTCTTCGGCAAAGCCTCTGCTCTTCAATGTAAGTCCTTCATTGTTTATTTTCCTTCAAAATTTCCTGAGAAAATGGATTCAATATATGTATGTTTAGAACTGATTAGCTTCCCACAAATGATTTTCATGCAGCTGGCGCTTGTGGGTATGGTTCCTTAGCTACGTCTTTCTATGGCGGTCGTCTTGCCGCTGCTGTTCCCGCCGTTTATAAAGACGGAGCTGGCTGTGGAGCCTGTTTTACGGTAATTCGTGATGTTTAACTTTTTTTTTTGGACATTTTCCCCTGTTCTGGTGTTTTGTGTGTGTGTGTTTTTTTTTTCTAGTCAGACCAATATTTGGATAATCGATAAGTCTTAAACGATTCAAAATTTAAGAACACTAGGAATTAGTTAACAATTGTTGTTTTTAACTGCAGATAAGATGCAAGAACCCGAAAATTTGTACGGAATCAGGCACCACCATGATCGTGACTGATCTGAACCAGAGCAATGAAACTGATTTCGTATTGAGCTCCAGAGCTTTCGGGGCTATGGCGAAACAGGGGATGGATCGGGAGCTCTTTAAACTCGGAATTGTCGACGTTGAATTCAAGAGGTCAGTTTAATTACGTACCTTTTTACTTTCCAAGTGAAATGCATCATCAAACAGTTTTTTGGTCTTTGATTGATTTATATAGTAAGAATAATGGCTGAAGTATTAAATTTAATATATGGTTCTTCCGGAGCAGAGTACCCTGTGAACACAAGAGGAATCTGGCGTTTCGGGTGGAAGAATCAAGTCAGAAACCTCATTATCTTGCAGTCAAAGTGTTATACCAAGGTGGTCAGACAGAGATTGTGGCTCTTGATGTGGCTCAGGTATCCTCAAATTTTAAAAAAACCATTCTTAATATGTACCCAAATCAGGCGTATTAATTTGTGACACGATAAAATTAGTAATTTCATAATAATGTTATACTGTATGAGTTATTCGAGTAACGTGCTAATATTGTAATAATGTGATGCTGTATCGGGAATTCGTGATTATAATCTTTCATCCTTACGTAAATCAGGTTGGATCGGGGAATTGGAACTACATGAGCCGAAACTACGGGGCAGTGTGGGATACGAGCAAAGTACCGGCCGGAGCGTTAGAATTCAGGATGGTGGTGACCTTAGGATACGACGGCGCGTATCACTGGGCTAAGAACGTGTTGCCGGCGGATTGGAAGAACGGCGTGATTTACGATTCCGGTTTACAAATCACTGACATTGCTCAAGAAGGTTGTTCTCCTTGTGACCCGGGCACAGGCTGGAAGAAATTGTAATTTTTTCTTCCTATGATATAACTACTCTCTCCTCACAATCATCTAATAGGTTGTAATAACATTTCATAATGTAGATTTGAAATAAATAACGTTTCCATAACAAAAAAAATAAAATAAAAAAACAAGTATATATTCCTTCTGATTCTTATTATAAGACATTTTGATTTGTCCTAAATTTCACTTAGGATATATTTCTAATTAAAATAAAAAATTTTAAAAAATTTCTTAATAATTAAGAGAACACAACGAATATATAAATATATTTTTAAGGTTTTTTTTCAATTAAAAAAACATTTTAGACGAAACCTAAGACAAATCAAAATACCTTATAATAAGTACTTGTGGGATAAGATAATAAAATTCTATGCCTCTTGCTCATTACTTTTACGTACTTAATGCTTTAATAGTAGCACTGGGAACTCTATGCTCACAAATTGTTCACAGTCCTCTTTTATCCCCCAACAATGTCACATTCCACAGTCCCAAAAAAGAAAAACATATTTATTGAATTAATTTAAAATCAAGATCGTTCTATACTTATATTTATGAATTGTAGGGTATGAATCATTGAAAAAATAAAAAATAAAAAAACGTATAATACCTCCATTTTAATTTGATTGTATATCACTTTCGCAAAGGAAGACACTATTTTTTTCCCCTTATAATTAGCCTTTAACTTACTTCTTTACTAATTCTTATTTTCGATTTTATCATTCTCATTCCTCAATTTTAATATGGTTTACGTGTCTTCTTTTCATATATTTAGTCTTCCCAATCACAATACATTTAATCTGGTAATACCGATTACATTTTTTTTTTTAGTTAATAATTGTGCAAATACAAAAGCTGCCTTAAGAAAATAATTATTACTACTATAAATAATTAGAAATTTCATACACACCATATTAATTGTGGCGATGCATGAATATTTAGCAGCCGCAAGGAATATGAAATAATTATTAAACGTGCCTTCTGAATTGTATTAACAAATTATATTTCTTAACTGAAATGAACCCCAATTGGCTTGAAATTTAAATGAACGTATCCTCATATTTTTCATGTCTAAATCTACTAAGCGGTGCTTAATAATTTTTCATAATCAAGATGTTTTGACCCTGCACGTAATATAAAGATTTTTGAGGAATATTAGGTTAGAAGGGTGTGTCTTTGTTTATGGATCGAGGACGAAGAAGATTTGTATCATTTCTTTTCCTGTCTTTGTTTACCCATGTTTCATACATAATTTTATTGCCTTTCAGAATATTTTATTATTTCCTATATGTTTTCTAAGGTTATAATATTCTTATACATTATATTTTTTGTGCACAACTTTTTCTTCGATTATCAAAACGTTAACAAAAGTGTCACTGAAGAGTAAATTAAGAGGAATATGAAATTCGGTAAATAAAAAATGTCTAAATGATAATTGGAATAAATAAATTAAAAACTAGATTTTTGTTACTTCTTCTTCTTTTCTTTTGTTGTTGTTGTTGTTGTTGTTATCAAGAACACATGACCCAAGTCAGAACAACAAAGCAAGGTTTGATCACTTTCACTAAAGTCAATTGCCAATTGGGATTACAATTCAAACTCCTCGAGCGATGTTAATTTTCACAAGTCAAACAAACAAGTAATGAGTTGCAGGGAGAGATTACCCAAATCTGAGTGAAAGATATTTATTGATCCTAAATTAGTAAGAATTAGATCAATCTAGCATATACTAGTTCCTATATATATATATACCCGTGAAGAAAACGCTCCTTTCAAACTCACTCATATATCTCTCCATCTCGCTTTATTTTGTACACTCAAGAATAAAATGAGAAAACCAATGGATAAGAAGACAAAGAATGCAAGCCTTGGCCTGATAATAATTCTGGTTATGGTAGCATTGGTCATGGCCGATTGTTCATCATCAGCAACAAGAAAAACGAATGTTTTTCGTCCCCAAGATGCAAGGTGGGATTGTCTTCAGAAGTGTATAGACGAATCTGCCAAATGTGAGCCTGAACCTTGGCGATGCTTCAAGGAATGTGTCGCCAAAACTTGTCCACAGTCGCCCCCTCCTGCTCGAACTCCTCTTGCTCAATAATCATTTATTATTGAGAATTCGTGTTACAATTTCTTTTTCTGGGAGGCTACTAAACGCCCTAATTTTTTCATTTGAACGCCCTAAAAAATCTTAAAAAGACTATTTTACCCCTGAATTCATATTTTTTTTAAAAAAAAAGGGTATAGGCGATGGAGTACTGCGCCAGCCTTTCACGGCTGGCGCAGAAGAAATGCGCCACCCTTTAAAGGGTGGCGCACAATTTTCTCGCCTCCCAATTAAGGGAGGCGAGAGGAAACTTTACCCCCAAAATGGGGGTGGCGCAAAAATCTGTCGCCACCCCCTTCGGTTTGGCGAGCGTTTTGCTCGCCAAACCGAATTTACTTTTTTTTTTTCTTTTTTTAATTTATTTAATTAATTAATTATTTTATTTATTTATTTATTTAAGTTTATTTTTTATTTATCTATTTGGCAGTTAAAAAATATTAAAAAAATAAATAAAATTATTTTATATTTTTTTCAATCTTTTTAATTTTTCGTTTCAACGTATTTTAAATTTTATATTTTTTTCCAAAAAAATATTCCCAGGACGGCTAGATGCACCGATGATGAATAATTAATTTGTTTGGTAGTAAATTCATAAATTTTAGTTTTTATTAAATAATAATTTTTTTTTAAGTTTAAAAATTTTTACATAACTAAATGATAAATTTTTATTAAAATTTACTACATAATTAAGCAACATTCTCTAAATATTTAAGTTAAAATTATTTGTTTAACCACCAAACAAATAAATAAACTTTAATAAATAAATAAATTAAGAACATACATGAATTAAATAAATACATGAATTAAATAAATTCATTAAGCTAATAATTAAAATAAATAAAAGAAATTAATTAAATACATTAAAAATAATTAAATTAAAGATAATTAAATAAATAAAATAAAAATAAAAAAATTATAAAAAAAAAAGTAATTAAGGTGGGTGGCGCACAAAATGGCGCCACCCACCCTTTGGTTGGCGAGCAAAAAGCTCGCCAACCAGCACCAATGTGGCGCCCAGAAGGGCGCCACACCTTCGCCGCATGGCGAAGATTTTCTCGCCACCCCTTTAAGGGGTGGCTCATTTCTCCCTCGCCAAACATCAAATCCGAGGGGCATGTATGTCTTTTTCGGGAGTTTAAATGAAAAAATTAGGGCGCTCAACAGCACGACCTTTCTTTTTAGCCCTGTGGAATTATAATGATCAATATTACCGTGAAATGTAATATGACGATATTGAGGAAGTTAAGTGTAATGTTGTTGCCTATGAAGCAATAAGGATAAAATTTATTGCTACAATTTAATCTTTCTAGTAAAATTTGATTTAATTCATCTCGCGTGTGTGTATATTATTAAAAAATTCTACAGTCCAGTCACTAGTTTTTTATTAAATCATTCAGTCAAAAGCCATCCAATTAAAAAATAATACATCATATATGAATATATGGTAAGAACTAGTGGAACAAATCTATCTTATATATTCTTTTACTTTTTAGTTTTTTTTAGTAACAAGATAATTATAGATACAGTAAATCACAAGATAAAGCCGGCCGATGCTCTTGCTCTAACCAATGTTTCCATTCGAACAATGAAGAATCTAAATATCATCTTCCACTGATCACTTAAATATTTTAAATTGCCAAAATAAAGTATAAGTCAATTACTACGTATATATCTAATTGCTCAGATGGAATTAATCCTTTGTCCCTTTAAAATCATTCCTCCGTTCAAAAGCATGTTCTGAAAATATCACCATCTCTACCACCACCGATGGACTTGTTCAGTGAACAGTGATACAAGACGTCAATTTTTCAAAACCAATTTTAGTTAATTTTCTCATTTCTCCAACTATTTTTTTTAAAAAAATTCTATGATCGGGACAAAATTAATCACAAAGAACTAATTGCAATTGAAATTGAATGTCATATTCCTAAGTTGGAGATTGCCAAAATTCATCAATCAAATCTTGAGGATTTAGTTATTTCGGTCAAATCCCAAAAACTTGCCGTAAGAGGAAGAGTAATATTCGAGATCAAAATGTTTTCCAAATAGAAATATTCTTTGGATAAGAACAATAATTTAGGCTTCCATGGAAGACCCGTTACTCACCTAAGATATCAGACTTTCGCTTAAACCGGTGACCTCAAAATTTATTGAAAGGAATTTTTAGATTTAATTCTCACCAAAACATGATTAATACATAGTCTATGTATGTTTTCCCTCTTTAGCGACTTTTTAATGAGATTTGTTGTTTTTTTGTAAAACGAAAATGTTGGACATCGAAGTTAGACGGGTTGATGAATTGGTCTTCTCCGATTGTTAGAGAATAGGAATGTAATTTTTGGGTCAGTAAATTTGTAAAACTATATAAAGATAACAAATTAATTAACATCTCTATGCATGGCAATTATTAAGTGTAATAGGGTATATTTTCTTTTGGTACACCTTTATTTTAATCCAGTGGTTGTTATCAATTTCATTAATCCTACGGCTATTAATATTTGACTGAACTATTTAGTCGACAGGACTGTAGTCGCTCCCATATATATATATATATATATATATATATGATGAATGTGATATTGTTTGCTTAATTTTATAAATTTTGAATAAATGTGTAAATGAAATGTAAATATTTTTAGTTTTGCAGTTTTGTAAATAAAAGCATTAAGATTATGAAATAAATAAAACGGAAAAAAAATCATTCCACAGTTGTCACAGAAAGCTTCAAAACAAGAAGATATTTTCATCCAAGAGCACATATCTAAATACAATCATTAAATTAAATTTAAAGTGAACTATATTCTGTTTTGCTGGCCTTACTATAAAACCATGTCTCATCTACCAAATGTTGTAACAATGAGTGCCAATAAAGTCATGAGATGCAACTATGGGGCAATGAAGTTTCTCCAAGATTGTGGAGACATGGATCAATGCGGGTGGGATTCAGAGATCTGGTGGAATGCCTCGTAGATTCACTCTCTCTTAGAGATAATCTATCAATAATATTCTCAAACTCCTCATACGTAGCCAAAATCCGACAAACAGAGAAAAAATCAATCGCAGGCGGTAAAGAATATGGAAAACTGTCAATACGAACCACACCGAATGAACACGATATGTAAAGCACTAGGAAGAAACAAGAAAAAGAATTAGAAAACAAATGACAGGAAATGACACAAGAAGACAAGAATCTAAAAAGGGATCTAAAGGTGAGACGAAGTAATGGAAGAACGTAGATCTAGATATGTAACCATCAATGTATCCAATGCACAATTTAGTCATGGAGGAAGTGGTTTGAGATATGGCTAAAAATAATAGAAATAGTTGAGGGTCGATCATAAAAGTATTTTGTGAAATTGTAAAAAAATAACAGTTAATCCATGAAAATCGATTCTACGAAGGACTCAAGTTTAAACATGACTCTCAGAGAAACTTTTACAAGAAGTTTTCTAGGACTCGCACTCAAGTTTAATAGCCCTTTATGTAATATTTGGTGGAATTGACGATGTCAAACCTTAGTTCGGTTGTACTCATGTATTTAAGTGTCGGTTCTGTTCTGTTGATGTACTTCAATTATGACTGGACGATTTTCAGCACCAGTAGTTAATGAATTCCGTATTTCAAGGGAAAAAAAAGAAAACAACCGGTTAATTTGAAATCACTTTAAATCATGAGTTATCAAGTTTGAGATGAATTAAGTATTTTCAACAGTAGTTAATTAAAATTCCCAAATCCTTTTCTTGTTTTTTTTTTAATAAAGTAGAAAAAAAAGGAAAAATGGTGAAAACATGGGAAAAAAAGAATAATGCACGACCCAATGTAATTTTATCTATTATTATATGAAGTTATGTTTATTTATTTGAAAGGTTAAGGTATGGATTTACTCTTCTTCTTCACTATCTTAAGAATTTATTTACAATGCATGCATAGAGTTGATAGGATTCATGAAGTTGCATATTCGTATTTTTTTATGGAGATTTTATGGTGCATGATTGAGCTGGATAATGAAGACCTAGAGATCTAGCTACCTTTAAGTTTGTTGATTGCGATAATTTCAGTAAATCCTTAGGCATGAAATGTTGTAATGGCCGAACACAGTCGGAGGAAAATGATAGAAGTGGTACGTTTTTGGGTTCCACATCTATATACTTGCATGTCATGATAGAAATAATTCAGAAAAAAAGATTTCAGCTGACTAAACTAGCGCCAATTTAATTTAATGTCGACAATAAGAATTAATCGATAGTCCGTGTTTATGTACAAAAAGTTTTTTTTTAAAAAAATGCACATATACAGTAGAATCGATATACTAGTTTTTTTGAAGAAGGAATCGATATACTAGTTGTTTGTGGAGAAAGCCAAAATGAAATGTAATCTAGGGATCCAATAATGATAATAATGAAGTGCACAAAATGACACAAACTTACACATGAAACAGAATCAATCTTCCTACTCAATTTAAGAAGACGCATCACCAGTGGTTTCTGTTGTCATTTTCGTGTTCTTTCAACTCAAATCTTTCCCTCGCAGCTTCGATTCACGGGATTGAACAAACTCTTCAATCTTAGCTTTAAGCTCATTATTTGGTATCAACATATCTGCCGTAAGACGAGAACGGTTGAAAGGATCCGTAGAATCACTCAAAAGATGCCTCTGAATAACGAGGCGATCAATTGTAATCCTTGATGAAGGTAAAATGACAGGATCCCTCATCAATGTGTATTGAATCGGGTCAAGGAATTCATCAGGTATCTCTCCGAGAGCTGTTTCGGCATCCATCGCCTCTGTCGCTGCAGCTTTAGCCTTTTCACCTAAATTTCTGAATTCTTGTATGATCTTCGCATCTTCACCGATTTTCCCAAGAACATCAGCTGCGCCACTGAATATCTGCTCGCTGTAAGATCGACAATCTTTTGCAATGGCGACTGTGAAAACGCTTTCAGTGTCTCCCCTGGACAAGTTCACGTACATGTCCACAATCTGCTTGACCAAGATTTTGGGACGAAACTCATACCTTTCAGGATCTTTCAAGCTCAGAGAGTTCCTCTGAGGTCCAACTAGCTGTAACAGGAAATAATTCAGCATGCTCGCGACCCGCTCAACCATCTCTGGCAAGAGGAAAGGAGCTGTAATCTCTTGTGTGGTAAAACCCAACATGCGAACATCTTCGTTGGCCATTTTCATGTCAACCCGAATGAGTTTCTCCAGTGATTGAAACCGTCTAGTCCTTTCCTGTTTCTCCTGACCCGATCTTCGCTCCCATTCCACTTTATTAGCCATCTCGGCTTCCAGTTCTTTCATCTCGAGAATCTTGTTGAGACTTTCATCCAGGAGATAAATACTATCATTAATCAAAAAGTTTACGAAGTTCAGATAAAATCCCTTCTCCTCCTCCTTAGCAATCTGTCTCCAAGCAGTTCGATGTCTTGGAACCTGCCACAGGTACTCGAGAAGCTCTGCAATGTCGTGGCGAATGTTAAACTTGTCGTAGAACTGACCGTGGGAACCTGTGAATTCAATGTCAACATAAAGCTTGAGAAGATTCCTAACAAGATACTCCAGGGATAGTTGGTGACTCTCAAACAATGTAGCCATCGCTGATGAACCCTTATTGCGAGGCATCAACATTTTGAGTACTTCCACCATCTTTGCTCTTAGGTAAGGATTTCTTACAAAGTCAGGACTTGCCATGAACATGACGATAAAGTTCATAAAGTCATCCAGTTCGACCCCATCCAAAGCTTTGGGAATCCGAGAGGCATATATAACCAACTCCATCGCGTCGTCCACAAAATGCTCTGGCATGGCTGCAAAATGCAGAGGACATGTTGATGCCAGAGGCATCTTAAATCCTCCTACAAGGTCAACCAACCAGACCAACATTAGCCGGTAGAAGGATAATGCTCGCTGAACAAGCCCCGTGTCCCTCAGTACCTGAGCTTCATAGCATGACTCTTCCTGTGAGTATAATCCAATTGTTTTCTCAAGGCTAGCTATATTTTGCTGCAGATGTTCACAAGGTGTCTGACCTTGCATTTTTTTCAAGGCTGATAACTTTTCTTTACATCTTGCAATGTTCCGACCAAGATTATTCCATTCCGAGAATGCTTTTAACAAACCTAGATTCACAGCCCTCGCAGTCATGAAGAAGCACTCAGAAATGAAGTGAAATTTACCATTTTCTTTGCAATCATTGTTTCTCAGAAGCCATTCATTTACTTCCTCGGATGAAGCATGAAGTGAAGTCAATCCTCTCAATTCCAAACGGGTGCCATGAAACACATATTTCGGATCAATCTTGTCCCTCTTTGTCAAATTGGCATCCAGAAACGGCTCACAAAGTCGCAGCATCACAGAACTGAGGTTCACAAACATCCCTGTACTAGCACAAGACGATGGATCAACCTGCATATGCGCCCGAGCCGTGTTTTTGTTGATCACCACAGCTAGAAATTGCAGCACATTCTCTCGAGTGTTAGCATTCTTAAGAAGACTCCTCATCACCTCTGCCAAACCATCATTAAGGCTGTTCATAACAGTCCTGATCGTCGTGCTCGAAGACAAAACATTGGCTCCAGGACGGCATTGCGATGAATCTGAGAAACACTGCTGCCCAACATCAGGTTGACTCTTGTAGAGAGTGTTATGATCAGGTAAAGCACTAACATGAAAGAATGGTCCCAAAATACTAGCAACCTCAATCAATCTCCCATTGATATACGCCGGATTAGGTATCCACTGAGGATGACTCACCAATGATTTCGCTCCCACCGGAAAATTAATCAACATAAGTACTGCCCTGAGTGGCTGCTGAAAGTTCCCTAAAGCAGAAACCTTGAGCACAGAACCACTTAAATCCTTATACAATTGCTTCATAATAGGCTCCACACTATCATAATCTCCTTCCCTAAACAACTCTTCCAGAAATCCCGGCGGCGCGGCGTCTCCGTTGTTACCGAATCCATCAACGGCCGACAAAATCAAAGGAAGCAACGGCGAATTAGTACCGGCGACGGCATCGGAATTAGGGAACATATCTGGAGTTCCAAGCGCTATCCTACAATAAGAAGCAGCAAAATTCTTGGCTTGTTTCAACACGAATTCCATCTCCGATCTCACGTTCTTGTCCTTCATCGAAGCAATCTTTCGGCCCTCCTCAGATGCTCGCCGGTAACAGTTGACCAGATATCGAACCGGCGGCTCTGCGTTCAAGAAATTTCCGGTTAACCGGTCGACGAGAACCCGCTCCAATAAATCCCGGGATAATCTGAAATCCTTATCCTCATTGAGTAATTCCGCAGCGGTTCTCTCCAAATAAACTACCCGTGAATCGTCTTCCATGGAATCAACTAATTTAACCAGGAAAACTTTTCGAAGAATTATATCCTCGATTTCCTCCGGCGGCCTCATGATTTGTTTCAACCAAACACTACACAAAACGTGAAAATTTAAACTTCTTTATTTATATAGACTTTATCAATACGACGGAGAAACATTGATAAGACTCAAGGTCATCTTATGGCTTTATTTTATTTATATATAATAGCCGCTGTTACTATACTACTGTAATTTAGTTACCAGCGTAAAGTTTTATTCCTATTGGGAATTCGTTTTGCTACAGATAAACGATGAATATTTTTTCGCATATTGTTTGTTTAGGATTTGCTTTTGGGAAATTAATATATTATTATGTGATATGGGGAAAATCCGATTAATGTATGTGTATGGAAATAAAGGACGGTTCACTCCCTTTTCCGAATTTGGATTTGGTGACTTTTTTTTTTTTTTTTTTGGGTAAAAAGGGTGAATTATATTGATAACCAAAAGTGCCAACTATTTACAACTTTTCCTGCCTCATCTATTTACATCATTTGATTCGTTATGAACATCTATATTGTTTAAATACAAGAGATCAGTCTGTTTTAATGTTCCACTAGTATGAATAATTCTCCATTTCAGCTCCGTTTTTATACCTTCAACTCTATGCTCAATAGTATTGCTTTCTGCATTGAATCTCCTGGAGTTCCTTTCAAGCCAAATGTTGTAAACACATGCCATTACAGCAGCACTTGCCATATTCCTCCTTATGCGCTTAAACTTGCATCCGTTTACCACTCTATCATAAACATGCTTGAAGTCTTTACTGCCAACCTTTATTACCAGTCAAATCATCACCTGTTCTAAAAGATCAGCAGAATAGGAGCAAGAGAAGAGTAGGTGATCACATGTTTCCAGCATTCTTCCTGAGTCACACAGTATTGAAAAACTCCATAGCTAGAGTTTGGTAGACAAGTTTCATGAAAACAGAATGAATTTGGGAAATTTCTGATTGTATTTCGTATGTCAATTCAGGCGTAGAGTACAAGCCGACATAATTAACATACAGCAAGTCAGCTACTTGGTCAAACTATACAATTCTACCCCTATATTTACAGGTATTGTCAATTGGACCCCTATTGATCTAATCTCCTGGATCATGTACAAATGTCCGATCTGATGTAGGTGGCAGCATCAATTCTGTGTAATCCTTGATCCACCCCTCAAGCTGAGAATGGTGTTGATGAAGATCAAGCAAGCTCAGCTTGGACAGAAGAAATGTGGAGCATGCAAACTTTTGGTAAAAAGATCTGTAGGCTGAAGTTTTGAAGCAACATAAAGTGGCAAAATGAAGCCAGCTTTATATTGATTTCTGATCACATGACAATCAATGTCTAAGTGTTTAGTTCTTTCATGGAATGTAGGGTTTTCAGTAATGTGTAATGCTGACTGATTATCACAACCGAAAGGAATAGGAAGAGAGAATGGTACAGAAAGATCACGTAGCAAATAAGAAATCCAATGAAGTTCACATACCGTAGAGGACATGCTTCTATATTCAGCTTCATAGGAAGAACGAAACACAGTAGTTTGCTTCTTGGTTTTCCAGGAGACAAGAGAGCTACCCAAGAAAATACAGTAACCAGAGAGGGAAAAACGAGTGTCTGTGCACTGGCCCCAATCCGCATCACTAAATGCAGTGAGATTAAGATCAATGGAGCTGGAATAGAAGAGACCTAAAGAAGGTGTTTCCTTAAGATATTTCAGAACATGCTGAGCTGCAATCCAGTGAACTTTTTTAGGATCATGTACAAACTGACTTAACTGTTGAGTTGCATGGGTGAGATCAGGCCTTGTAACTCCAAGATATAATAACTTTCCCACTAACCTTCTATACTGTTCAGGAGAAGCATATGGTGGACTATGTTCATCTTGCAAATTGAGCCCCTTTGGAAGAGGTGTATTAACAGGCTTGCGGGTTATCAATCCAGCTTGTCGTATGATGTCCAGAATGTACTTTCTCTGGTTCAGGACCAAACTAGAGGAAGAACAAGCTATCTCAACCCCAATGAAATACTTAGCATGGCCAAGATTTTTTAGAGAAAAGACCTGATGAAGAAATGTCTTCGCTTCAAGAATGTGCTGTTCTGAGGAACCTGTGATGAGTACATCATCTACATAAACCAGAAGAGCCAAAAAATAGTCTGGACCTTTCTTGATGAACAAGCAGTGATCTGCAAAAGATTGAGCAAAACCAAAGGATTCAAGCTTCTTAGTGAACTCAATGTTCTATTGCCTAGAAGCTTGTTTCAGGCCATAGAGAGATCTTTGCAGTCTACAAACTTGATGTGGCAAAACTTTACTGTAACCAGGAGGAGCCCTCATGAATATCTCTTCATCAAGAAACCCATGCAGGAATGCATTATTAACATCTAGGAGGTGAAGAATCATCCCTTTGCAGCTGCTATAGGAAAAAGAATTCTAACAGTGACTATTTTTGCAATAGGAGAGAAAGAGTCTGTATAATCTTCACTTTCTACTTGACTGTATCCTTTAGCCACAAGTCTTGCCTTGTATTTATCTACATTCCCATCAGGCAGATACTTTACCTTAAAAATCCATTTACATCCAATAGCATGCTTACCAGGAGAAAGATCAGTTACAGTCCAAGTCTGATTATCCTCTACGGCTTGTAATTCTTTGCTCATTGCCAATTCCCATTCACGAATTCCTAGAGCTTGTGCATGGGAGTATGGTTCATTAATCTTGGAAATATTGGCAAGGAAGGACAAATATGAATAATGTACATTGAATTGTGGATAAAAGGATAAGTAGGTGGAGGTAGATACTTGGGTTGACTGTTGCTGACAGTGAAAGTATAATAGTCATCAAGCCATACTAACTTATGTTTTGTTCTAGAACTGACTCTTGGAGGTGGTGGATTCTGTGATACAGGAAGAAGAGAAGAACTGACAGGAACTATGTCAGAAGTGGTAGAAGAAGGTAAGGAAACTTCAGATGAAGGAACAGGTTCAGGAATATCAAAAGAAGAGTCTGTCATTGATTCAAGATTATCAGAAGGCTGAGAGTATGTAGGTTGATGTAATGGATCAAAATGATCATCTAAAGAAGTAATGATAGGAAAAGGTACTTGAGATGTAGTAAAAGAGTGTGTTTGATAAGGAAATTGATGCTCTTTAAACACAACATCTTTGGAAATGTAAATCTTATGATCTTCAAGGCCATAAATCTTATATGCCTTTTGACCTGTTGGGTAACAAATAAAAACACCTTTAAAGGCTTGTGGAATAAACTTGTCCTTATGTGGAGTATTGTTGGTAAAGAAGCAAAAAACCAAAAGTCTTAAGGTGACTATAGGAAGGAATGGAACCAAAAAGGATCTCATAAGGTTTCCAATTCAAAAGAACTGTTGGTAGTCTATTGATAAGATATGTGGCTGTCAAAATTGCATCTCCCCAGAATTTCTTAGGTAATGATGCTTGAAACATGATTGCCCTAGCTACTTGGAGCAAATGTTTATGCTTACGTTCTACAACACCATTTTGTTGTGGTGTGTAGGGACAAGATTTGGTGTATTATACCAAGCTTAGGAAACAAAAGCTCACAGTCATGATTTACAAACTCTGAGCCATTATCAGTTTTGATAATTTGAATTGATTTTTGGAACTGAGTTTTAACCATAGCACAGAAATTATCAAGAATTTGGACTACAGTGGTTTTATGTTTGATTAGAAAAGTCCAAGTACACTTGCTATAGTCATCCACAAGGGTAACAAAGTAATGAGTTTGCGAAAGATTTGCATGTGAGTAAGGACCCCAAAGGTCAATATGAACAAGTTGAAAACAAGAAGTAGTAGAAGATTGACTAACAGGAAAGGTAAGTCTTTGCTGTTTTGCAAGAGGACAAATTTCACAGCAAAAATCCTTAGATACATCAAAGCTTAGTATTGTGCTAAGTTGTTGAACAACAGGAATAGACAGGTGACCTAGTCTTTGATGCCACTGTGCATTCAAAGCTACATCTATTTTATTACAATATGAAACCAGACCGGTGGAACAACAAATGGTAGAATGAAGAAGTAAACGAGCTAAATGCAGCTGAATCTGCTTTCTAATTTCTTGAGGATCAAAACAATCTGATGTGAGTGCATAAAGTCCTTGTACTATTGTGCCAACACCAATGATTTCATCAGTCATGAGGTCCTGTATGACACACAAATCAGCAGCAAATGTAAAATACAGTTTTGCTAATTGTGCTAAGGATCTCACTGAAATCAAGTTATACTTGAAAGTTGGCACATAAAGGACATTAGGAAGAGTGATTCTAGAGCTTATCTCTACTAAACTAGTTTGTTGAACATGTTGTGTACTACCATCTGGTAAGATTATGGGAGTTAAAATATTGACTGGTTTAGGCTTTATCAAAAGAGAAAGATTATGACATATACTCTCAGTTGCACCAGTATCAAGAAATCACAGATTAACAATAATATTGCACATATTTTTGAGCTTGGAAATTATGGAGCTACCTGCAAAGTCACTGAGATGTGCAAAGTTAACAAACTGAGCAGCAGAATCAGCTGGTCCTTTCCCTTTAAGCAATTTGCTGAATTCTTGTTGTAACTTGTTGATTTGCATTGCCATCACATTGAGATCAATATTAGAAGACTCTGCAACATCCAATGGGGTCTCAACAGCAGCAACATGTGTAAAGTTCTTGACTGGAGCATGCTGTGACTTGATTCCTTTCTGAGCATTCTTCCTCTCTTGCAGCCATTCAGGGAGTCCATTGATCTTGAAACATGTACCTATCTCACGACCAGGTTTCTGACAATGAGTGCAAAACCTTGTAAGATCCAAAGGTTTCTTCCTTTTGAATGAACTTTGAGACTTGGCCAATAAAGCTGTGTTATCAGTTACACCATTAGCAGACATTGAACCATTTGAAGATGAGACCAATCCTTGACCCTGGGAATTCTGATTCTGACAGACAGCTACAAATGCAGAATTATCAACAATGTGAAGCTTACAACCACCTGGAACCTTCTTCTCTGCTTTGGAGAACATGTTATAAGAGTTCTTCATAGTAGGAGGTGGATCCATCATTAATATTTGGTCCTTTTTAGTTTCATAACACTTGTTAAGTCCCATCAAAAACTCGATCAATTTATCCTCATTATCCCTGGCTTCCAAAAGCCTAGCTATATCAGGAGGACAAATAGGGAACGGCCTGTAATGGGCATATTCAGCCCATATACGTTTCAGAGAACTATAATACTTGATCAATGACATATCACCCTGAACAATTGCGATACGCTCTTGTCTCATCGGTATAAAGTCTGACTATTAGAAGTACCATACTCTTCAGCCAAATTCTCCCATAACTCTTGAGCAGTTAAATTGTGCATATAACTATAAAAAACATCGGGAGTTAAAGTAGCTATAATCCAAGATTTTACGTGGAATCGACTCGCTTCCACTGCTGGAAATCTGGTGAGGCTGGTGAAGGACTCACACATGAACCATCAATGAATCCGATGTCCCCATAGATCGACTCCAAACAAGATAATTGGAATCTGTAAGCGGAGCTAAACAAGAACCATATCTGGATGCTCAGACGCATGAAGACTCAGAGTATCATCATGAGATCTTTCATTACCATTACCACGTAGTTGCTCTGCCCGGCAAACATCAGTAATTTCACGATCCGCCATAATTCAAGACGGAGAACAACATCCAAAAAAAAAAAAAATTGAGATGGTGAAAAGGAAAATTGAGACGGTGGGAAAGATCGGAGCAGCAAGAAGAAGAAATGTGCAGAAGCAATTCCACAGTATCGAGCCTATGGCTCTTATACCATGAAAAGCTCCATAGCTAGGGTTTGGTAGACAAGTTTCATGAAAGCAGAATGAATTTGGGAAATTTGTGATTGTATTTCATCAGTCAATTCAGGCGTAAAGTACAAGTATATATACATGAAGGTCTAACTAAAAATAAACTAATAACAGCCGACATAATTAACATACAGCAGGTCAACTACTTGGTCAAGCTATACAATTCTACCCCTATATTTACAGGTATTGTCAATTGGACCTCTAATTGATCTAATCTCCTGAATCATGTACAAATGTCTGATCTGATGCAGATGGCAGCATCAATTCTGTATAATCCTTGAAGTATACATTGTCCTGCTCAACCCAAATCCCAAGTCTCTCCATCCTTTCAATGGTCATCAGCCTATTCTGTACAGCCAACCAACCAATAACACAGGTTCTGTTCCAAATCATCCCAGTAACTTTCAGCTTTGCCCCTTTTTCCCTCCACTGTTCATATCTCCCTCTTGTTGTATATTCCTTCTGATTTGGATTTGGTGACTTCATATCGAACTCATTCTTTTTTGAACGAATAATTCGATTTAAAATTTATAAAACAAAAATTTATAATTGGTTGAGGTTTATTTTCTAAATTAAAATATAAATTATTGAAAAAATAAATAAATGGAGGACCACGTCTACTTATCAATTCTATATTAACTTTTTAGATGAGATGAATTTCATAGGTCTAATTTTAAGATTTTAATTTTTAAAATAGTTTTGGCCAAGTAATATTTGTCAACTGTTTCGTAATAATTTTTTTTTTTTTTTGGTTTCGTAATAATTTTGCAACTATATAAAATTTGATGGATTATTGAAGAATTATAATCGCGAGGGGTTAATGCTGTAACTGTAGTACTCCGTGTTTGTTTGTGGCATTTTTCTTGGAAAAAAAAAAAGTTTTCTGATTTTGTTTACCATTAGGAGAGGTTTTCTGAACGGGTTTTTACGGTTTTATCACCATTAGAGATTGGAAAGAATTCGGTAGTGTTTTTTGATAATTTCCATACTTGTATCAAATTGATTTTTAAAAAGTCTCCTTATCTCAAAATAATCGAATTTTAATATTAGGCCATAGAGGAAAATCCAAATGAAGTTTTCAGTTTAGTAATTTATTTCATTTCCAAACTTTAAATCTTAAACAAACACAAAAGGGTAAATTAATGTGATTCCCAAGCCCATCAGTTCTCTAAAAAAAACTTGAATACTTGCATATACTGATCTTTCACAAAGTGCTTGAGGAAATTCTTAAGGTGAAAAGGATTTGTTCATCTGGACAAATTTTTAGGCAACCAGGAGTTCAAAGATCAATCGCGCCGGGATTTCAAGGTCCAAAGAATCATTGCAAAACTTATTTTCCCTAGAATGGGCAAATGGAACTTGGATCAAAGACATAGGAGAGCTAAAGCAATTGAAGGACCTTGGCATTTCAAAGCTAAGCAGAGTAGAGATGGAAAGCTGCTTTGCTCTTCCACTGGAAAGTTCCCAAACTTTGAAGGCTTATTAATTAATTCGAGTTGTTGGGAGCATGAGGCATTTGATTTGGAAGATATGACCATTTCATGATGTTCAAGTTTCCTAAATCTCCAGCCATTATGTTTATGGACCTGCGATTAATATCTTTGTTATGTGGATTGACTGTCATAGAGTTGGTTTGGAGGAGTTTAAATGGAAAATCCAATGGAATTTCTGAGACACTTGCCAAATTTTGCCAACACTTTTTCCTAGAGTAGGCATTGCAAAAAGAGCAAAAAAAAAAAAAAAACAAAAACCGGAAGATAAGAAAGAACTGAACTTCCGAAGTCCTACAATATGGTCCGTTCTGTGATCTATTATTTTTCTATATTGCAACATACTGCAAGTCTCCCTGGATCTCTAAAATTACCCACATTGACAAAGGGGAATATATACAAGTGAGGGAAAAAAAGGGACAAAGGAAGCTGAGGATTAGCAGAGACTCTGACGGCAAGGGAACCAGCTTTGTTTAAACCCGAACGCCAATTCTCTCAGCAACCTGCATCAAGCAACACAATTTCATATCGTCAAGCCATTCATCTTCCCCGGAAAGCAAGAGACACAAAGAGACAAATGCAACATAGTCATTCAAGCAGATCTGGACAATTACTATACAAACTAAACACACGATAGACTTTTCATCAATTGATCAGCAACACTAGTATTTCGCCAATGCAGACGACTGGAAACCGACAAAAACTACAGTGGTTTTTAAGTCTGAAAATCAGCAATAATTTATTTCAGGAGAACGCGAAAAGCAGATATCTGCAGAAACATAGTTTTGTAGCCTGTCAATAGCTCATGGCTGATTGAAATCAGGCATCTCAAGTTAAAGAAAAGATAAGTGTAATGGAAGTTATCTGTAACGGACTCCAGAACATTGTAAAGAAGTTAATCCAATTGCAACTGAAAGCGTTCATACGAGACTTTTTCCCTTTTTTCTTTTTCTTTTTTTTTGTTTAGTATGGACATAAGGTGAATCTAAGCTCCATATGGAATTTCCTATGATTTCCTGGCCAGGAAGTGAACCTCACCCAAAGAACACAAACAAGCAAAGAGGAACCTTAAGAGCTGATGATCACATATGACTGTTATGAAACTTTCCCATACTCGCATATACCTAGACTCAGAAAAGGATCAAACTAACTGCCAAATGAAGCCATTCAGATAGATAGATATGCAGCTGAAGAAAAAATGACACAGAAATGCATACCTCTTTGAAGGACTGGACGTCACTTCCCCAGAGCCAGGCATCACAACCTGCATCTCTGGCACCCCAAATATCGTTCCTTCGATCATCTCCAACATGAACAACATCCTCCGGATTTACTCCTAGCAAGTCACAAGCTTTCAGAAAAATCATTGGATTAGGTTTCTCTGCTTCAACCTGTTTATAAGAAAGGAAAGGATCAAACATACACCCTTATGAGAAGCAAAAAAGAAACGGAAATGAATAAAACACTGTTGGATGATCGAGATCACATACTTCAGCTGATACTGCCACAGCATCAAACCAGTGATCGCAATTTAAAGCCTTTAACAAAGGTCTTAGCCTTGTATCAAAGTTTGATACAATAGCTATCTTGACACCTGCATTTTTGAGTGCTTGGAATACTTTTTCAGCATTGGGATCACAAAGATGCCATGCCTAAGAAGATTAAATAAATGTCAGTTGTTCCCATACCATTACAGAGGATGCCACGCCTAAGAAAAGTAATGAATTAATTGGCCTTCAATCAACATACCTTCTCAGTCATATAATAGTTATACAGCTCTTCAAAGTACTGAGGATCTGAACATCCAGTTGAAGCACTGACTATGAATTGCCAAAATGGTCTCCCATCATCAACGTATCTGCATAACAGGAATAAATTTCAGGAAAATATTTATAAAGCTATCAGGTAAATCGAACAGCCGTCAATCGCCAACCAAAATCTTGTCGACCAAGAACAATAGTCAAAATGACTACTAAGATGAAGAAAGGACACGTGTAACAATGTTTGATAAGGTCAGATTAGTCCAAATCAATGAAGTAAAGTCAATAAGCTGTACTCCGTAACTCATATCATCATTGTGAACACCGTCCCCCCAAGCCCCCCAACCAAAAAAACAAAATAGCACTTTGCAATTTTATTTGGAGATATAAACTGAAGTGAACAATAAATATCAGAAAGCATTTTATCAATGAAGGAAAAGAAAGTAGCACTAGCAGTATATAGCACCTCAACAATAAAGCAACAAAAATTTTCAGTGATGTGCTTCCAAAATCCATAATAATCTTCCCTAAACAAAATGTTCAGGTTTGGTTCATCAATTATTCACACATGCACAAGGATGCCACTTTACTTTAAAAGAGGAAAATAAAATCAACTCACCTCAGACGAGACCTACCCCAGGGCTGCTCATATGCCCTTCGGTATCTATTCAATATCTCAGTCTCTGAAACATTTACCCCATATTTCTCACCAATCTGCCGGTATATCTGCAAGAGAAAGCAATAAACCGCTCGCCGATTAGTAAAGTAAGAACCCCACAAGAATAAAGTAAAGTAGATTCAAACTACAATACAAGGTAAGCAGAAGAAAATAGAAAGCAACCTTATTATAATTCTATTGAACACCAAAGGCTTAAAAAATTTTAATGCTACAAATATGCCTTAAATTGCCGATCGAAAAAAAACAATAAAAAACTTGTATTAGAACTTGGTTAGATTGACTGTTATATCAGTATCTAACCTCAAAAGGAAACCAAATTGAACAAAATACCCCAAAATATTTAGATGGAAAGCACAAAAACTGGTAAAATTAGAATCCCGCAATAACATGGGGGGAAAAAAAGAAAGACCAAGCTAAATGAAACTGTTGCAACAGCTAATAGATCAATGAGGTTTTCCTTCATAGTCGAAACAGAAATAGTCACTGAAACTTTCAATGAAGAAATTGAAATAATCCATTGAATAAAAGTGAATGGTTTACAACAGGAACCATCAGATTGGCAAGAAAGCAGCAAAACAGAGGTTATAAAAATGGGAAAAATTGCACGCCAGAAACACCTACGAGAAGAAGAAAACAGAAGAGAAGGGTTGCTTTAAAATAATCAAACAATCAAGGAAACCGAAGAAAGATTCATAACCAGATTGCCGATCGAACACATATAAATTTTTCCACATCACTGATTTTCAGTCTAAATTAAAACTCTTAACCCCCCGCATTGGGGAGCAATCATGCATACATAAAACCCATCCATTTTATTATAAAAAAAACAAAATCAAACTAAACTGCAAACGTAACACACCTGAGCCATGGGCTGAGAAGGGACAACAAGAGTCCCCACAGCATCAACGAAGAGGGCTTTATGAGTAAGGCCACCATAAAGCGCCCTCCTATATTCTTCATAATCTTTCAGCATCCCAAAAAGCCTCGTCTCCACTGGTGTTGTCGTCGAATTCAAATGGGTTTCCTCTGGTTCCACAGCTGCGGCCGCCGATGAAGAGAATAACGAAACAGAGGATCCCAATCCCCTTGCCGCCAGCAACCCTTCACCGCCGTACTTATTAGACCCATACCCAGAAACCAACGGAGATGACACCAATGATCTAACTATCCTCCCAGCCTTCGTTGCCATTATCTTGAACAAGTTAAATTTTTTTTTAACAAAATCTCCCTAGGATTTCTGATTTCTTACTTCATTTGTCAATCAAAAGCACAATTTTCTCAGACCCAATTCGAAGATATAGTTGAATTACATTTTTTAGTAAAGTTTAATCAGGTCATTGCTCTATGAAATTTGGTTTTTGCTTCCACAGAAGAGTGCGGGGTGAGAAGAGAAGAGAAAGCGCAGATTTTGCTGTTTTCAGGGGTGACTAAGGGAGAGAGATGAAAAATGGAAATAAGGGGAAAAGGCCAGTGTATATATACTACAAAAGGGCCATTTATGAATAGTGCTCCCATAAATGTGACGTGGAAGTATTTCTTGAAAAGATCTTTTATTTTATTATTTTGGAGCATAATTATTTAAGAAAAAGTAATGGAAAATAGTTGGATCATACTATTTCGAAAAATTGAATAAATTTTAAGTCCTTATCATATTCATACCATAACTTTTACGTCATTTTACTTTTGTTTTTTTAATTTTTATAATACATACAACATCCTCACCCTCCTGCTCACCACTTCGCATATGGAAGGTCATCAACCAAAGTTTCTTTATAAACTTCCCTTACTATGACTTGAGGTAGATTTCTTTCTTTTTTTAGATATACTCTAAATTCTAAATTAACACAACATTTAATACTCCTTCCGGTCCTTAATATAAGACATTTTGATTTTATCTTAGGTTTCACCTAATATGCATTTTTAATTGATGAAAAAATCTTAAAAAATATATTTTCACATTCGTTGTATTCTTTTGATTGTTGTGAAATATTTTTAAGGTTTTTTAGTCAATTAAAAATACGTATTAGGTTAAATCTAGTATAAATATAAAATGCTTTATATTAAGGTCCGGAGAGAGTATATTACTATCAACAGCGACATGTTCTAACGTCCCTAAATAAGTCAGTGTCATTAGAATATATTAATTAATTAATTCATTACAAAATCAGACATACGAAATATATATTTAATTCGTAACCAAGTAAGTTCTTTCATGATCACACAAGGTTATCATCAATGTCGAAATATTCTTTCTAATGCTTTGATTGTTCACCTCGGTTACTTATTTCTTCCTTTAACCTCCCACACAAACTGCAAGTGCTAAAAATGTTCATAGCTGATGAATCTCACAAACTATTATAGATGCGTTAATTAGAGCAAAATGAAATTTTTCATTGTTTATGAAAAACAAGGGTGGTTTGCGTGCACATAATATAACAACCTTGACCAAAACTAGCATGCTTTAACGTGTCATCAGTTTATAAAATTTGTTCCATATATGAAATTCAATCATTAATAAACAAGCAATTTATTTGTGTTGCTAAGATTTTTTTATTAATTAATTCAATTACTATACTACCAACTGTTTGGTTATTGCATTGCCTGTCTTCAATAATCAAAAGATTAATTTAAAAAAGCTAACTCCAAGTCTCCAATAATTGACACAACCTCTTACTTATGTAGATTAGAGACAACAATCATATTTCAAAGTTTTTTTTTTTTTCTCTTTCTTTTAATTGTTATTTTGATTATTCAACCAAAATGTGAACATCAAACACGTACGTATGTTATCACAGTCGCTTTCATTCTTACCCTTCCATCCTTATAGTTGCTACGTAGGTTAGAGATCTAGGTACCTTCACAATGAGTAACTCTGTTTACACAAAGTGATGGCTGCCTATAGATTAATCCAGCGGATTTTTTTTTTTTTTTGTTGTAATCCATCTTTAATCAAGCTTTGCATAAATCTCCAATTTTGTTGGAGTTTAGGATTGATGCTACTTTGATGATTAGGCTTGTCCGTCCGCATCAATGTGGTCCTTTTATTGTAATTCGGACAAATTAACACCACCATATATATACATATATTCACAAGAAGGAACTTGCATTCGCATTTTCCTTTTGTTATATCAATAAGGACTAGCCTAACAATGGTTGTTGTCGATGAGTTTGAGATTAATGTGTAAAAGAACAATTTTCTTTTAATTTTGATTATATAAATCACTAAGTACCATATGCTTCTTGTTATTTTTGTCATTTACGTTTTTCTTTTCATTTTATAAAAATAGGTATTTTTTTCTTATCAAGATCAACTAAAGGGTTTTGAATTTCGATTATTGGAGGATTCAATTGTTGAGTCAAAATTCGATCCTAATAAGATGATAGAGTTTAGGGAAAACAGGTCGATTATATGCGCTAAAAAACATATGTAATGACGTGATAGAGTCATCCCAGATAAAAATATATGCGTCAAATTGTAAGCGGATTAATTAAAAAGTACGCTTGTACTATTAAAGTTTCTTTTTAAAATGTAAATTGCATGCACTAGTTGTTTTTAAACTTCATAATAACAATTCAACCAAACTTCATAATCTCACACCTCGTACTTACTTTTGATAATTTCCACCTTGAAACCAAGGTACCACCTGGTTTCCTTGTTGAGAAAGTAAAACGTAAAAGAATGGATTAAATTAATTGAAGAACATGGATTTACCTTTGGTAATACAAAACTACCGCCAAAGGCTACACATCTTAATCACCTCCGATGAGGCAGGTGGTATAAGTAAATTAGTTGGAAGGTGACATGTTTGACGCAAAATATATGCATTGATTAAGCACAAATGTGAAAAAATGACCCACGAAATGAATAAAACAAATTATATGACTTGTATCAGTGGCTGATTAATCGACCGCGCGCATCTGGAGTTTTAACCTTTCATAACATTAAACAATACTAGATGATCATCACGTATTGCATATAATCAGTCAGTAAATAGTTTTTGATGTTGAGATTTAACTACGACAATCATTAGGGTTAATTAGTTCACTAAACAACAAAGTACTGACGTGTGGGAGCTAGGTGTTAGCTGCCACGACAATAATCACTTACTTTACGACAATACTCATACTTTAATACTAAACATCTCATTCAAATGTACATCACATTTAAATAAATTATGCACCATAGGCGCATACATTTAAAATTTAGCTAACAACCATTTACACATAGCAATAATCTTTTTGACGGGGTCGAATTCTACAGGAACATCTTTATCGGTTATATATGTATGGATGGAGTATAATAATTCTACTTATCTTTCTGATTCCACTTATCACCATTGTAATGGAGAGAATCACATTTTGCGTAACCCTAGTGATTCACACTCTTGCATATAAGGGGATATGCTTTTTGATAATCACATCCATTAATATTGGTGTTTTCAACCTGGCACCTGTCTTTTTTCTGCTCACATTTTATCGACGTGTATAATATCATTCTTAAATAACAAATATTTACTTTTTCACTGGTCACTAAAAGCAAAATGGTGGCACTAATGATATTTTCATAATAGTTAGTCTTCAAGTCTCTCCAGTTTCTATAATTAAACAGCCATTAATTACATTCGTTTAATTTCAATACTAGTATTGACGTTTATCTTGATAGACAAACTTCTAAAGAATACATACATAATTCGACACGTATATTTTTCCTGAAAAAATCGACGTCAATAGAATATTTTTTGATACAACTCAAAAAAAATAAAGAGTTGTTATTATGAAAATGACATCTCTATGACTTGAATTCAAAACGAGAAGCCAAATAATCAAAACAATAATAAGTTGGAGCGAGTCAGGGGCCCCAAAAATCAAAATGCTCAAAGTCCGAGGGGGTTGAAAGTGACATAGGTTTAATCCATGGCCAAGAGGTACTTAATTGTGAACCACATATGCATGCATGGGACTTCATTTCAAAACAAAGGAGAGACACAAAAAAAATCTTGTGGAACAAGGGACTTAGGGTCCCAACAGTATAAAAACATCTGGTTCAGATTGCAGAAATGATGTTCATAATTCCTCGTCGGATTCCAAATTTGTGATCCCCCGTAATTCGTTGATTATGTCTTTGTGGAAATTAAGGGCACTAGCTGGAGCCCCAGCTGCTTTTCTTGCATATCTCATGACTCAAAGCTCCAAATGAGATTTGATCAAGAATAGAATTTTGGTGTTTTTGAAGTATTATATATATTCCATTCATCTAAAAGAAGAGTGAAATCAATTTATATTATTTTGCTTAAATAACAAGATTGACTTTTCGTGATATAAGAGTATACAAATCTTTATACATAAAAAAGAAAATAGTTAGATGATTTTATTTTCCTCAATCTGTTGTGGTCATAATTAGTAGACTTTTGCTGTAAGAGCTTTTATTCTTTGAAGAGCGAAATCTCCCTCCCTAAAAATGAATTTAGTAAAAAAGAAAATTGAGATAGCCTTGTAATTTAAAAAATCTTGCTTTTTTAAGTTTTCTTTTTTTAAAGTTTGGGATACAAAGACACTTTTCATTTTATAAACTAGGTGTTAGATCCGTCCGATGGACGGGGAGAACATGTACATATAGACATTACAACACAAGCAAAGTAATAAAAATATCACTATTTCTATGGATTTTGTACTTTTATAAAATGTTAATTATAAATTATATAATTATTTCATTGAAAAATATAAAACACAAACATCAACAACACTTTACAAAATGGTAATAATTTATTTAATGCAAAGAGAATTATTTAAAAAATCTAAAAAAAGGGAATATAGAAAAGAAAAAATAATTAACTTTGAATTGAATGATTATATGTCCTGTAATACTTCTCTGTACGAAATTCATAGTCTTAGATTGACGTTACCACATTCATCGTGTATTAGGTTCTTGATTCCTTGTCTCGAAGTGACTATTGATAAGGCGACATATAATTGGTCATGGTTAAAAATTGGTGACTATTGATAAGGCGACATATAATTGGTCATGGTTAAAAATTGAACGTGGCAAATAAAATGATTTGTTAATTTAAAGGTGTTAATCGGACGGCCAAATAAACTTAAATGGAAATTATAAAATAGAGATTTAATGGATGAAAATTTCTACCAAATACAATATAAATAATAATATAGAGAAAATAAAAGTAATCATTATTAGATAAATTTTCAGCATAATGTGGAATGTTGAGAAAGAAAAAAAAAAGCATTCAACTTCGAATTGAATAATTATATATCTTGCAATAATTTAAATCAAAATCATTAAACTTATTTTTAATGACATTCTATGGTAGAATTATTTTTTCGTTGATTCTAAGGTAGGATCTTTTTTTTTACCACATTAATAATATCACTGAAGTTATTTGCATATTTAAATTTGATCTCTCTCAACTTGTTTTTAATAATATCCCACAATTACTTTATAGTGGGTATCTATTTTTTTTTTCTTAATGATATTACAAATTTACCC